AGTAGAAAGCTTCCTGAACAGCACGCATGTATTCTCTTTCGAACATCGACTCGTACTGCTGGTGAAGCATCTTGTGAGTATCAAAGGCAACCTTCGCAATCGCTGGAACAGTTGATGTCTCCAACGAGACAAGGACGCCAGCACATTCCTTAGGGTGAACCAATCCTTGACGGTTGATACTAGCAATCAGCTCAATGGCAGTCAGGGCGTACGAGTCTTGCCGCGATTGTGCAACCCGAAGCATGCTCCGCAAAAAGTGCTGGGCAATCAAAGCAGCGGCACCATCGTTGTCGCTGGCCTTCAAAGACCCTCCTAGTCGCGTGGCGCTCTCCTGCTCGGCGATCTCAGCAGCAGGTAGCACAGTCTTCTCGGCCTTGCCTTCGTGCATTGCGAAGAATTCCGAGAATGACCTTAGCACAATGTTTTGCAGACTCGGATTATCTTCCTTAAACACCATAGACAGAATTTGCCTTGGGTTATCACGACTGAATTGGCCTGGCCAGGACTGGCAAATCGATCCCAAACTCTCCAGTGACATGATTCTCAATTCAAGCGGTTGTTTCTGAACGGTGAAGGGTATAATGGCATCCACCATTAGACCAGCCACTGAGCCCCCGCCCCACGACGGGAAAGCATTCTTGAAATGCGGCTCGTACTTTTCAAGATCGCAGTGTCTGCCAACACAGCCTGCAATGCGAATGTAGCTTTTGGCTCTGGCTAAGACTGCCGCGTTTGCACTATCCGAAAGATCTATGTTTTTGTAGTGCTGTATCGGTTTCAGCACGGAAATGGTTAACTTCACCAACCGGTCAGTATTGTGCAAAACTCCGTTGATAGTCCAGAGGCACGCCATCACTTCGTTAAGCTCTGAGCGAGCAAGCTTTGCAACGCTCTTGAATAGATCGTTCTGGACCTCCCTCAGCAGGGTATTGTGGGCGGACGACAAATAAGGCAATACGCATCGGTAGATGACTACCACCGAGCGGAAAAGGAAAAGATCCTCTGCCGTGGCCAGGTGTCCAATGTAAGGATGCAAAGTCTCCAGTTGGTCAGGCCGGAACAACTTTGCGTTGGCCTTTGCAAAAACGGTGATCGTTTGCAAAAGCGCTTGCTGGAATTCCTTCGTCGAATCGGTACCTTCGACCAGCTTCTCGAACATTGTAGAGACCATTGCTTTGCATACTTTAAAGTTCAAAGACGCTGTCTTGGAGGTTTCGGATAGAACCTTCTTAAGACAGTTGTTCAAGGTGTCGAGCGCTGTTTCACTTCGCTGAACCAGACTGACTATGAGTGTCACCCTCTCATCAAGACCGACCTTGAGTTTCGGGCCATCCTGAGCAGAGTCGATGAGTCCGTGGAAGGGAGTGAGCCAGATCTCCTCGAATGTTTGTCGCGCCAAAGTCGCCACACTATCTTCCAAGTCGCCCGTCCGTTGCAGAAAGCTATCCATTATCGCAAGCTTCAGCTCAGTACGCGACGTATTGAGGTAGATATCCTTCAACAGTCCGATGCAGCGCTTCCGTACACCGGCAGTCGGATCAGCGGCGCAGGTCAAGATAGCCCGACAACCGTCCTCTTCCAGCTTCGGCTTCAATGCAATGCATTTTGCGATCAAGGACAACGCGGAATCGCGGACCATTGGAGATGCGTCAGTGGCGCAGCGGAGAATTACTCGCATGACCGAAGCATCTCTATCGAGAAGACTTGGATCCTTCTCAAGCATGTAGATTACACTCTTCAAGCTACGACTCCGAACTTTGGCCTGGTCACTGGCAATCGAGTTGAGCAGAACTTTGAGAATCGTGTCGAAAGCCTTGCAGAACCCTGAGTTCAAGACAGTCAGGATGTATGCGAACTTGCCATGTGCCGTAGGCACGGTGTTGAATTGCCTGAAAACGAATCAGTAAGGTGCCGTGGGCCTTAACAAAACGTACTCACCTGTGCGTCTCGAGCCATAATGGGTCAGAGAAAAGATTGGAGAAAAGTGAAACCAGGTCTTCAGTCGCGTCGTCGTACATGACTTCGTCCTTGTCTTCAGAGTTATAGTAAACGGAACAGAAGGTTTTGGACCACTGGGTAAGATAGAATCCGCGAGCACTGGCAAGCTGCCAGTTGTCTACACTGCGATCCTGAATGAAATACTCGAGAGTCATCCGATAAGGGCCTTCGGCGACAACGAGGTCTTGTGGATGCAGAGCACGGCTCGAATACTCTTCAAATAGCTGTTTGAGAGATTCGCTGAGATCGCTATCAGACTCCTCCATGGCAGGCAGCAGATGCTGAGCAGTCACTATAAGATCAGAGATGGCAGAGCCCATCCACCCTAGAAGCTCAAGAGCCATGCTTTTCGCCGTCGCAGAACTCTTGTCCTGTTCGGCGATACCAACCATGTGAGAGGCCATAATACGGAGGAGCAATTCCGCAGCCGGCCAATCTGTGGAACCTAGGACGCTGATCAGGTCTTCGGTAAAAAGGTCGAAAATATTTCGATAGGGCTGATCGCCGGTTTTGGTAGATGTCATCGCTCGTTGAACGATAAATTTGACAATATACTGGGCACTGCGTACTGCGTTATCATGCAGACGGTTAACCTTCGTCGCAAGCTGCTCCATGGACATGTTCGATTGGTCATCATCTACTCCCTGGCTATCACCAAGCATCTCGTCATCGTCCTCATCTTCGGCCGATCCAGGTGGCTTGCGCCTCATTCGAGACGCCCTTGAGTTGGGAACGTCCAAAGCAGTCGTCTGCACCAGTTGCATGACCAATGCAGTCAGAAGTTGGATGTTCTTGCCGTCGGCAAGTTTGAACTGCCTGGCACTCTGCCGGGTAGATGGAAGCTTTTCGAGTGATACAAGGATTTCGTCCAGGATGTATGGGCGCTGGGCGGGATACTTGGAGAAAATCTTGGCCAGTACATCCATGGCTCCACGTCGAACCGACTCGTATTTTTGGACACCGACAGTAGAGTCCTTCTCCGTGTGAGAGTTCTCGACGAATATTAACTTAGCTGCGAAGAACTCTGCGGCGGTGACTGTTCCTTCTGAGACGTCAATCCGCGAGAGGAAATCTGCGAAGAGAGCAAGTACTTTTTTGCTTTGCTGGATTAATGAACCAAGAACCCGTTTCTGAGCAGAGAAGAACTCAAAATACTTCGCATCCTTTCCTCCAGGACGTGCCTGGGCAGCCGGGATGATACAGTGATCAAAGACTTGGTTAAAAACATTCGGTATGGCCTCAATCAAATCCTCTGGACAAAGATCTCGTTCCGTCTGGGTCCCAGACATCGTTTGTAGAAGACTCCCAATAGCAAGAAGAGCATTTTGCATGTCATCCAATTTTCTTAACCAATCCTGTGTTTCAGACTCGTTCGAGGGATCGTCTATTCTCAGATCCGGCGATTGGGCAGCAATGATTGGCTTTTCACAAAGCTTCTGGATCCTGTTAAGGTAGTCTGATGGGATATCCTGGAGTCGATTGTACCCAACCACTTTCTTGATTGCCTTCTGTAGTCGCGTATGGGCATCGGACGAAAGGATAGGTCCGTTCACCTCGAGTGCATGAGGTGTAGTGAAAACCACGTTTGTTTGTTCAGCAGCCGCACCGGAGGATGTACTAGGGTCGAGCTGATCCTCGGACTCGAAGATCTCATGAAGCATGTCCTGCAACTTGACTAGGGCAGCGTCTGCCTCTTCCTTTTGGTCTTTCAGTCGGATGGCCGTAAGATTCTCGCCCCCATCAGTATTGAGCTTTCTCTTCTTCGACATGCCGTGTTCATCTATATGGTGTGGCAGTGGTTTGACGGGGATCACTACCGACAGTTGGCTTGTCTGTTGACTCGGTCGGGATGAGGGTGTGGGTGCAGGTCTATGTGCGACGGAAGGTTGCTTTTCATTATAGGAAGTAGGCTTATGCGGCGGTTCTATATCATCAGGCGTAGGATCTGTACATTGTCAGTTCACTTCTGAAGCCTATGTAAAGCGATAAAGCCCTACATCGAAAAGCAATATCCGTAGCATCCAACATCATCTTCGCAAATGAGCCAAGCTTGTTGCTGCTGGCGACATGGTCGTTGGCCGCGGTGGAAGGTGATTGCTGAGCGCTGATCGAGCTTGTCGGTAGCTTGAACTTGCTACCGGGATAGGTGAGCATATGATATAAGGATGAAGCATTAATGAGGCTCACAATTCGGTCAACTGATCACCATCCAACAACTGCTGCAAGTATTCCCGAGATGTCTCCAAGCGATTCGACTCATCCCGTCCCGATTGGATTTCGCCATTGAGCTGACTTAATGCTGTACGGCCGGACTGGAGGATGTGATTAATGGAGGTCGTATTGGGGGGTCGACCGACGTCCGGGCGTAGGATGCAGTCTTAAGGAGACAAGTCAATCAGTTAGCTAAAGTTCACTCTGTTCACAGAAAGGGTTTATCTCAGTCTGACCTAAACCGAAGATCGGTGAGCTGGACATGGGAGAGTACTGCAACGCCTCCTCCACAGCCAACGGCCTTTGCCAGCGGCGAGCCTGCCCGCTGGGGGCATGAGCTTGCGCTTGAGGATGGCCGTTGATGACGACCTGAACGGCCGGATGCCAGTTCTGAGCCATGGCGGCGGGTATCCCTACTGGGAAGCTAAAGATGGGTTGAAAGAAGATCTATGACGGTAGCTTAGACATGCCCTCCTCAGAGACATGGCTATGGGAGCAAGGAGAATGAGAGACCACCCCCGATAAACGCCTGATCATCCAAAGATCTCCATGGCAAACCAATGCAATAATTAATGCCAGGCACGGTTCTCTTGCCGCTGCCGCGCCTCACCGCCCGGCACTAATGGCGCGCTGGACCTTCGAAAATTGGCCCGTGCTGGAGCCTTTCTTTCCGCCGCCATCCAAAGAATTCAAGGCGGGAGAGAAAAAAAAAAAAAGTGAAGGGTCATTTATTCGTTTTCAATTGTCCGGTTGATCTGGTATTTTTTTGTCGCAAACCCATATCTTTCAATATGTCTGCGATCGGAACTCTCGTCTTCTGCACTGACTGCGGCTCTCTTTTGGAGGGTTCAATTGGTGATCCAACTAAGATTCTTGTCTGCGATGTCTGCGGAGCTAGGAATAAAGGTAGGTTTGCCTTGTTGATATTGTAGGTTGCAAAGTCGCATTCACTGACCTTGTCCCTTTTTACCTCGCTATTCAGACACCGTTCCCCAGACCATTGTCTCCGAGTCCAAGCCGAGCGCATTCCCGTCTGCCTTGAGAGCGAAAAGATCTGCGGTCCAGACCTTGACGGCGTCAGACAGAAGAACCGAAGCCCTTACTCAACATACTTGTATCAAGTGTGGAAGGAAAGAGATGTACTACACCACCGTACAACTGCGCAGTGCAGATGAAGGTAGTACGGTGTTTTACACATGTGTCTGTGGTCACAAGTATGCAACCTACCAGCCCTTCCCTTTCCCATACCCTATACTAATTTTCCGTTACACAGGGAATCGACGAACAACTAAACGGCAAAGACCTGGTGTCTATGTTTTTTTGGGGATTCTCAATTGTACATCTATGAGTCATGAAAGCAACTATTTACCGGCATTGTAGACTTTTTGTTCGCATAATTCATCAAGCAGACACGGCAGCAGGGGCACCAGAGTCCGGCACCAGCGCATACTCCATCTCTCCGTTCTTCTCAAACTCGGCCATATCAAGAGCCACGATAATGCTGTCCCGGACAACCTGCTCGGGGTCGTTCAGGAACTTCTTCAAGGTATCCTCGACACCATCAACGTCACCCAAGCTACCGAGGGCCTCGGCAGCTTCGTGGCGCACCATACCTTCTTCTTCTTGGTTGCTCAGACACTCGGTGAGACTAGGAACGGAGGCGGGGTGGCAAAGTTGACCGAAAACGAATGCGACCTCGTGGCGGAACAGCGCAGAGGGGTCCTTGAGACCCTTGGCGAGCGCATCGATGGCCTGAACGGCAGTGGGCAGATCAGGAGGCGAGGCGAGGTCGCGCAGGGCAAACATGGCACGGTATCTTTGGAAGAGAGGGAGCTTGGTGTCCAGCAATGTCTTCTCCAACTCAGAAATAGAGGGTTCTGCGGCATCCAGGGGCATTGGCGGGGCGGGGTCGATGGAGGTGAAGTCACTATATCATATAGAAGCACTTGATTAGCATGCAATCCGAATGACTTGGCTGCGACACAGAAAAGTAAGGTCATACCTAGGCTTCAACTTCTCAGCCTTCCTGGCTTCGGAGTTCTCCCAGACGATACGGTCCACAGCGATGTCGCAAGTCTCCCTAATGACCTCGGGCTCATTCGCATCATCCTTCAACGCCTTCAGAATCTCCAGACTATCCTCATAACCCAGAGCACCCAAGGCCTCCGCAGCCTCATGACGGCACATAACATCCTCCTCCTTATCCTTCAGAACCTGCTGAAGGAACGCGACAGCGTCAGGGTTACGAGTCTGACCAAGACAGTAGGCAAGCTCATGCTTCAACAGAGCCGACTTGGAGGAGAAAGCAGCGGCGATGGCCTCAATAGCCGGAAGGGTGTCCTCAGAGGGAGGCTGCAGGCAGGCCAGGTACTTGAGGGAGAAGAGGGCCCGGAAGCGGCGCGCGAGGGGCTCGGACTCGTTGACAATAACTTTGCGGAGGGTGAGGACAGTCTCACTCACCCCCTCCAGGTTGTTTTCGTTGACAGCGGACATGATAAGAGAAAAGGAAAAAATAAAAAAATTATTGATTAAGGAGTGTTTCTAGTTTGCACAATTTCACGAGATCCAGCGAGAAAGAACGAGGGGCAAGAAGGGAAAGAAGAGGAGAGGACCTTTCAGGCATGAACGACGATAGGTAAATTTTCGATCTTATCACGTCCCGATAATAAATTTTAGGTGGGGGCGGCGGGGTTCCAAACCGCCGTGGCTGGGCGCCTTTTGCTTTGTAAATCTCTCTTACAGAGTATGCTCGGTCTCTTTTGCCGGATCTGTTCCTGCCGGGATGGTGATCATCGAACGATATTTTTTGAGGCTTATCTTCTTTGAGAAAATGGGAGTGTGAGGAAACATTTTAGTATATATAGTCTAGTTGACAGTCATAAGGCATTGCCTTATGTAAATATTTATCGCACAATTCCGAGCAGACTGTTATTTTCGTCCTCTTTTCTCCAGACCGCTGAAGCCTAATTCGAGTCATTTGCGGAAATGCCAAAAAAAAAAAAACGATCCACTTGCTGCGTGCCTGAATAGTACGTAGTACTTACTGCTCATCTGCTACCCGGTGAACTTCCGTTCTTCCCTCGTGCCTTCGGAGGATTTAGCCTTATCCGTATGAGGTTTGGGTTGTGAGGCGTGTTGCTTAATGTAGAAATTTAGTAGTCAATTTTCCCTTCTTAAGATGCCGCTTAGATCGCATCAAAACAACTCAACTATTAATCATCACTCGCAGCAGTTCATAGCATGGTACGGTATATTGTTAACATTGTAGTAGATAATGGTCATTCTATAATGTTCAAATTCCTTCGGTTATTCATCTCGTAAGTGCTAGTAGCACGCCTGTATATATAAAGGGTCACTTATCAGTGGGCTAATACCATTCGTGATAAACTGAGTAGCATACCAAAGCAACTCATTCATTCTACTAGTCCCTTGGCCATTACTAGCTGTGCTAGTGTAATGCAATCCTAAAAACAAAGTCTCATGGAAAGAAGGCACAGCATGTTAAAAGTATAGAGCTTCAACTTTCCGTACTGTAACACCTTTGCCTCGATGAAGGTCCAACAAAGACGGAGCATGGATATCGACATTTGCTACCAATGCCTCTTGTGATACCTGGCACAAAGCGAGCTATTCCCTAGAATGAACTGGTAACTAGCGCAAGCGCTCTCTAATGCCTTCGAGTATCTCAAGAGTCGCTTGGCGCTATACTCGATATATGAACTCAATGGTGCACACCGACAGTCAGGTGATCCACCAGGTTATATCAATAAAAGTTTGAAATAGCGAAAAGTGTAACATTTAGGAAAGTTAATTTATCACCTAGCACAACCCAGAACTTAAACAAAGACCTGCACTTATGTACATGACACACGAGAAACCCAAATCATTTAGTCTTGATGTACTTGAGCTTCTTCGGTTCGTGGACGAAGTTGTTAGCGTAGGCCTTGGGGACGAAGCGACGCTCATTCGGCTCCTGAACGAAGTACTCGTATCCCTGCTTCTGGGCGAACAGAATGGCATCCTCCTTGCTCTTGAAGTTCAGGTGGGTACCCTGCATGCAATCGGCAGAGGATTGCCAGCCCATGAGGGGGTTCTCCCAGCGATGACCCCTCTGCAGAATATCCCAATCCATTCTCCAGTGGTGTCCGTGCCAGGTTCCGGACTGTGTTGCGGGCTTCGCTTGACGGTAGATCCTGTATGTGACTGATCAGCGCGACTGATACGGGTGGGCGACAAATATCGTTCAGGGAGCTTCATACCGGACAGTACGAGCCTGCAGGTCGGTGGGAGCGCCGGACAGAACAGCGGCAGCAACAGTGGCACCAGGCTCACTGCCATCCATGACGCGCTTGGGCACAGGGGAGAATTGACTGATTTCAATTGGTCAGTTTAGCCACTCCAATTGTATCGCGAGGTGGGGTAATTCGTACGAGGTGCCGTGATCAATGGTGGCATCGTAATCGGGCTGATGACGGGTCATAGCCTCAGAAGGGCTCTCCTTGCGGATCAAGGTGCTCTCGGTGTGAGGAACAGTCGGGGCATCAGAAGTGCTGGATGTGCGGGAAGGGTCGCCTCGACCAGTGCCTGTGGACACAAAACGCGCATTGACGGGGGCGACGAGCCTGCCCGTGCGGAGGCAGGCGAATCTTCCTGCTCTGGCAAGCGACATGATGGCGAGGTTGTGCTTGGATGAGTGGAGAGAGCAAGGTGCTGCGGTAGAGCAATTGCAAGTTGAGGTATGCGGCGAGTGCCGGCCTTCAGACGAGTCCGAAAGCGGTTTAGCGCGAGTTGAATGAGCCTCCCTGCGTCGAACCGCTCTTCCGACAACCCGCTTTCTCGTTGGCACTTCTTCCTTCTCTCCGTCATTATCCATTGTCCTAGTTCACCTGCTAGCGTCAAGGTAAGTTGGTTATTCCCCGAGTGACGCTCTGTATTTTGCGTCTCTCTTTTCATTCATCCGACAATTTTCTGACTTGGGGTCGCACAGATCCTACAAGATGAGCTACATCGCCCGCCGCGGTCTCTCGACCTTGATCCCTCCCAAGGTAAGAAACAACCGATACAACCACAAGAATATGTCTTAATTCAGTGCTAATTGACGTTTAGATCGCTTCCCCCAACGTGAGAACCCCTACCTTGATCTTCCCCGACCCTGACTAGACGTTACCGCCCGGAGCAATCTCTTTCGTGCTTTACCTCGGGAACTCAACAAAACGCGCGTTATACCTGTTGAACTCAACTAACTGTCAAAAAGGCGATCGGTGCTGCCAAGGATGCTGCCCGCATGGACCGTGTCGTGAACTTCTACGCCAGACTCCCCCGTGGTGCTGCCCCTGAAGTTAAGCCTACCGGTATCATCGGCCGCTACCAGGCTCGCTACTTCGGAAAGAACCCCTCCGCTGCTCGTGAGTGCTCTCTCAATCAAGTCTTACAGTACGAAAGATACTGATTATTTGCAACTCGATAGCCCTCGCCCACGCCATCGGTACCATCCTGATCCTGGGCTACAGCATGGAGTACTACTTCCACCTCCGTACGTTCCCTATATTCTTCTGGTGTATTGAGCAGCAGGACTTACCATTTTGCAGGCCACCACAAGAACCACCCCCACTAAGCAACTCGCTTCTTGGTTTCAGCGAGCGGGAGATCCTGTGTATATACCACACACTCTACAATGAAGACGATGTAGAAGAATGAAACTTGTACCACCTCTAGACGTGTCTCATTGCCAACGTATCTTCTCCATCATATATAAATAGTCTCGATTAAGCAGCATATGGACGGTGGTCTTGCATAATTGTAGTCGTCTGCCTTCATCATGACCGCGGCTACGGATATTCAGCGGGACAGGGCACACTAGGTATATATGAATCCTGATATTCTGGAATCATGCATATTGCAATGGTACAGTCCTCTCCCACGAAGTCAAAAACGGTCAGCTACTAGTATACCAAACAGTGTTGATTCTTCAAAAGTATAAACTCAACCCATAGGTAAGAAAAGACTTCCTGGTCTTCCACCTCAACAGTGTTCCGAAGGTCATAATAACGAACTGATCTGCATAGTCTGGATATCGTTTGAATTCTGGCGATGTCTCGCGTCGTGTTATGATTCATTCTAATGACCTACGGAAATATATTCGTCGGTACATGGGAGCACATAATTGGACACCAACGACATCAACAATGTTTCTCCTAATGGTGCTATTACTAGTAGCTTCTACAGAGGTAAGATCGGGAGATGGGATGCTGAGGGGTCATTAGATATTGATATTAACAAGTGAAGATAGATGGAAACATAATGGTAGCGTCTTCCGACTGCTTTTTTGATATTAAAGAGAATCCAGAGCATGAAAGCATGAGAGGAGGAGTGATTATCGGTGCCCCGCTTGAATACATGCCTTCCAAGAAATCAGCGAAAGGTCAAAGAAGATAGGATTATGTCCCTGAACCAATGAAAGATATGTAGGCTTACTCTAAGCACAGGGTGATAAAGAAGGTTAGGGAGCAACCTCTTTGAGGATCTCTGATAAGGTGCCTGTTCACAGGGAACCATCAACATAAGGTTGGTATTGAAACCGCCAAACCCAAATATAGGCCTTTAGTTCGGCAAGGATCTTCTCTGTCTGAGTTGTGCATCTGCACGAAGTGATATTGCCAGCAGAATAGGCGCTACTTTCATCACATGGGCCAGGTTCAATGTGCTCCACGGGCCGAACTGACGCATAATCAAAAACGGCCGAGACTGGCTCGTATAGTTCTTGTCTGCCAGATATTTGACGTATTCGTCATCGTACTGAGAAACGGTCAGATAGATCTCGTGCCGGTCTTGCGAGGTTAGAAAGCGCCTTCATAGTTAGCATCCGGTGTGTTACTTCGTGATAATGATTGTTGAGAGATGATTGACATACTCTTTGTCCAATTTATATGCCTGTACACCATCACTTTTGACCCACGCAACCATCTGCGCACTCTCCTGCATTCGTATAGCAGCGAGTTTCTTCGCTCGCATGACCGGTTTGACCTCGATAATGGCCTGAGCGTTACCCTGCCGGTCATCCAGATACCCATCGGTTCTGGCTTCGAAACTAGCATCTCCAAAATCAGCCTTGAAAGCCTTTCTGTGCAAGGTCCAATTGTTAGCGAGCTTGAACGGTGCAGTTAGAGCATTCATGAAGATAACAAGGGCGCAATTGACGATTTGCTCGTCCCTAGTCGGAGGGAATAGCACGCCCACTTGCTCTTTAGAAGGAGGTGAGGTCTCCTGAGGTGGACTTGGGGTTTCCGGAATTGATTTCACCGGAGTATCCTCAGGTGTATCAAGACCTAGGTCTTCCACGTCCAGGGACTCAGAGACATTTGTGGACTTCGTAGGCGTTGCCAAATACATATTAGCTAACTTTCGACTCAGTACCCTAGCGCGTGTTCGATGTGCAACAGGAGTTGCAAGTGACCGTGGATCTACTTCGTCTTTTGTGTTTGTAACTTCGAGCTGATAGAGCCGGGCAATTGTGAAGTTCCCTTCACCCATATCTTTTGATGAGAATTCCTGACAATATGTTTGCCATGATTTGTAATTTTTCAACAATTCCTCTGCTTTCACAATCCAGTTGTTGAGATCAGGGAGCAGCTTCGGCAGATCTTGAATATGGCGTATCTCCCATAGTACTTGAAGTAGAAGAAATTGTTTATATTCAATCTTTGAGGCAGAATCTAACTCCGCGCCGTGGATAGTTTGACCTGTAAGGCCCATCCGAGCCATGGCAGCTTCCCATCTCCTCTTATTTGAAGGTAGATCGTCTGTTATGCCTGACATGACGGTTATAGAGATGTGAAAATATGAGCAATGATGATAGGAGCTCAGAGGGGAGCAGGAGACTGGATAAGAAATGTCGAGATATGAATATGCAGTGATAGATTCGCGACTATCCAGACTCACGAGAACCAGAAGAGAAAGACCGCAAATAAAGGCCATATAGGTGGAAGAAAATCTAGTGAAGTGTCTTGTTACGGTGAATGGTTCTATCGCGATATACACAACGCTTGACTTGGTGGCGTCTGCGCTGGCTATTCATTCCCCTCTGTTCTGAACTGGGCAGGCATCAACCTGGCCGGTGAAACATAGTTATCATGGTGTTGACTCAAAACAATCTGACTGTAATCTATGTGTATTTTGGCTGCGAGGACTCATCTTGGTCGATGCAATCAGGGCTCGATCGATTGCGATATGAGGTTATACGCAAGGAACAGCAGCCGGAACAGAAAAGCCATAGCTGTTTGATTGGGCTTCCAACATGACCAGGGGAGAGACTTAGATGCCTATTCTTTAATGTAATCTCATTCATCAAGCAAAGCATTGAGACACAATTGTAGTACTAAGGTTGAATGGGCTTAGTGGCGCCTTCACAGCACTTATACAGTGTAGGAAGCTGTGAATCTGGGAGCGCTGATTGGTGGTTTCCCGGCAACCAATGTTGCTGCTTCCAAAGCGAAAACAATTCGTTTTCATTTCCAATGCGACCTCCTGGGAGACAAAGCAAGACTTAAGAGGGCGCAAAGTTCTCCTTCTCATTCCTCATAAACCCAGTCAATTTGGAGTAAATCCAAGTTCTCTGTTGTACCTAATTTCCCAAGCCCAGCTATCCATCGCCATGTCACAAAAGGTGGAACCCCCAGCCCGCCGCCAAATGAGGGCAGCATTGAGGGACTTGGCGCTCAAGATCAAGAGCCTGGCAGTTGATGAACTAGACCTACAGCAATTGGAGAACCTCAATGTTCGAGTCGACCTTATGTCGCTGGACCAAGCTTCACCACACAAACCATCTTATTTTGCCCCCTTGGCAGACCACTCAATCCCCGATCCCAAGGATGATGACCTTCACGGACCGTATAACGGAGTAGATGATGAAACGGAGCCAGCCTTTACCAGTCCTGTCGATCGCGCATATGCAATGGACATCCACCTTTCGTCTTATATCACCTATTACTCTATGAAAGCCGACCATGAAGGGTATAGGACGACCTGGTTCTCGAAATGGCAAGGGCTCCATCATTGAGACTTAAGGATATGCACTAACAGGCTCTCCCTAGTGTTGGTGATTCAGCTTTCGAGAAATCCAGTTTGTACAAGTATGAACAACCTGAGTTTGGGTGCTATCGCATCGCCGAGCTGAATGGCCCTACACGTCCACATGTCAAGGCGGTCATGTACAATAATCTAGTCGCCACAGATTCCACAATCCTCTTCGGCGAGTTGATGCCAATTCTTCGGATTATGCTGACACAGCTTCGAAGACGGAAGTTCATCCATGAAATGGTCTCACCGGTAATGAACTGCACCATCTCCACCAGTCAAGCTTGTTGCTATTCCAGAGCTGATATGTGCTACAGGTCCTGATATTCTCGCTCATGGGGCTACAAGCCCGAGTTATCGAGGCATTCTTCCAGGATCAAAATCTGGTGCTGCGTCCGACCAAGATGTATGATTTCAGCCACGGGAACTCCGACGCCTTCAAATCACTTGCCCAGTGGTATATCTTGGGAGAGCCTATCGGGGATACAACGAAGGCTTCCTGATACCTTCGCTGGTTTCGTATCAGCTTGTCATCAGCTACATGTTACGTGCTTATGATTGTCAATCACGTTGCTCTCTAATCCTTTTTCATCGTTACAGCAGGGAGTCATGGCACGTGGGAGATGTATATCACGTGGAGGAGTTGCAAGGCGTATGTTTGCTTATGAAGTACATGACTAATATGGGATGGGTCTGTTTCTTTATTGTGATGTTTCTCAGCGGCCTTATCTGGGGTGTACTATGACCCTATCTCCAAATGAAATAGCGCACGAACCGAATTCCTTTCCATAGACGAGACGGTGTCTTTCCCAAACATTGATCAATCAAGAGGTTCTAAGCCCTCGTAATTCCAGACAACACAGTGTACATAATATACTACTAGTATGATGTAGCTAAGTCATCACCCAGCCAAGAAAACAACCAGGGACAGGGCTTCAGTGCTACAGTTCCTTTGACTGTGAGAAACTACTGTAACATTGCTACAATGTCATACACCCTTCGATGCCAACAACCTCAGGGTTGGTGGCTGTGCAAGAACGGACTGCAGCACTGCACCTCTTACAACTGCCAGGCAACGAATGCCTCACTTGAAGGTGGCTTAGAAGTGTTGATAGTGCTAGGATATGCCCTACTTCTTGGTATGGAGCCTCAGAACTTAATGGGTACGGAGACGTAAACTCTGTCGTGGAAATATCGCAAAGATGATACCTAAAAGAGTTGGTGAACTGAGTTTGTGGATGGTATGGTTGGTATGACTTGGGATTAGTAGATAGGAAGTATTACTAGGTACTAAGGCAGGGGGATGCAGTTCTGGAATGGGCTGTAGGAGATTAGTAAATGATCATGGTTAATTGGTTTGGGGAAGGGGGGGTGGTAGATGCAGTGGGAACTGTGGGATCATCCTTCTCCTTTTCTTTTTCTTTTTTCTTTCTTTTTCTTCTTTTTCAGTTGCTTTAGTCTATGCTTTTTTATTTAATTATTTATTCACCCCGACGGAATTCATCTAGTTGCAGCATACGAACGACGGGGCAACTGTTATGAAACTCATTGCCTGCATAAGTAACGGGTCATCCACTCGATATTAGAGTTTAAGGCCAGGGCAAACAATGCATCGGACCATGGTCCTTTAACGGATATGTCCGTCGATTCAAGCAACGGAGGTAACTTAGCATGTTCCCTCCGATATGTCCTCTGTCGGCATCTTACGTGAGATGAGCGAGACGGTCGGGGGCACTCAATAGCTACCCAAGCAGTCGATCAAGTGTTGGGTATCCTTCCAGAGTATTGAGAAAGAGCCTCCACTATGACGAAAGTAGGATAGTGAGTAGGAAAAAACGATGGTGTGGCTTAGTTGCCTCCCAGTCTAGACAACTGACTCAGAGAAGGTACCGTGAACTTTGCGGAAGTCGTATGCCGATTCATGCATTTTGATAGACTTGATTCGTTAAGCATTGGCTTCCGAGTGGCGAATTCTAGACTTTGCATATAACTGTATGTGCTATTGGGTAGATGGTGATTGGCGATAGCCAGGTACAGTGTCCGGAGCACATGTTGGAAGGCAAGCTGCTACCTCTACAGTACCAGTAGCTTGGAGCTCAAGTCCAGGACAACCCGTTTCCTGTAGTGCCTCGGTTGTCTGTGAATCGCAACGAGATGAGCTGTCTGGGTACAGCCACCATGAGTAATCCGGGCAATGCACAACTGGCATCGCTCCTACGTCAATTTGGGCTTGACAGACTGATGCCGATGCCTCTGATTCTGCAGAAGGGCGGTGCTTGGGAGAGTAAGTATAGTGTGTGACGTTACTTAATCCCTTACTAACTAAGCCACGGAAGAAAGCAGCACTGCTCCTTTGCCGTCATCTCGAGTCTTACTGCGGAAATTGCTGTGCATCGGCTTAACTCGGGGGCAGAGGAAGAGGCCCTTCAACATCTATCCAGTCAGGGCCACACAACAGAATGAGGCAAGTCAAAAAAGTCACGCAGTTTTGGCGCGTTCTGGATTTCTGCCATCAAACCTTGTGGCTGTTGTCTTGAAATGTTCAAGTGCCATTATTCCGAGCGGACACCACGCTAGCCTTGTCAAAGAAGCGGGGTAAGCAGTGGATACAGGATGGAGGGTGAAAGTGAGTTTACTGAGTTTCCCCTGTGGCGCAGCTGCTTGAAAGTCCCCCGATCTGGGGGTTCTGAAACTCCCGTTGTCTAGACCCTACTTACCTTTCAGTTCTACCTGGCCGTTCACCCACTCCTCTTTAGCCAAACATAATCTGACCCCAGCTAATCCATGATTCGCTGTCCACCAAAGTTGTGCTCTGGGAATCGGCGCTCCCCGAGATGATTCATCCAGAGAACATATCCATATCAACCGTTGTCGCCTCACTTTGCACATCGGTCATCTTGTTCTGTCGTTGGGCACGGTGGATGATTTGGCTATTCTAGACCACGATCCTCGTTTGGGGTCGGTAGACTGCGTACGGCTACCCTTTCCTGTCTAGTCGGAATATTGTTCCTGTTGATAAACGGCTTGTAGGGTATGTTTTCCGACATAGTGTTCTGAACTAGGATCAACATTTGCTATTGATTGATGATAGCAAGCATGGATGTGCGAGATCTCCTGGGTAGCTACCGTAACAGCTTGCGTAGCAGCATGAAGCTTCTCAGCCATGTCGAGCTTGCTAGCGGTGATCCTTCCAGAAGTAAGTTAGTAAGTAGTACTCCGTAGATAAGTAGCAGCTGATTAGAGACTGACGAATGGCAGTGCAGTGTAGTTCCGCGAAGTCGACACCAGTTTTGCCGGTAGAAGTTGCAAAAGTGAGAGAAATCTCGACTGAGCTCTCAATTCGCAAATGGAAGTTCCTCTATCCAGTAGATTGCATTTACTCACGATTCTTCAGTCCAGAATTTTAGGCAGCAAGCTCCTCCATGATCGCTTGGGGACTGCTGGTTGTCGATGACGTTCCGGCCAGCCAGAGTGCCTGGGGATGATGGCCGGCAAGGCTGCCAGAGAATCACACGCAAACATCGCCCAGACTAGTACCGCGCAGACGTCACGGAAACACTCGAGTCCTCAGAGGTAACAATACCTGCTCTGCTAAACTGGTATCGGCAATACGGGGGGTGCCCATTTGCCCTGGGTATTGATGGATGACTCCCTCCTAGTCCTCCTACACTACTACCATATAAGAGCGGAAATATCACCCCCCCGAGCTACTCTTCTTTTTGTTGCCGGATTCTACTCATCGCAAAACCAAGGATTCCTACAAACCCTAGAGCTTCCTTTCAAAAGCAATTTTATTTTCTCCTTTGTTAAGACTGCTCTCTTTAATCTTTGTGTGCCTGTCAGCGATACAGGGAAGGATTTCTTCTTACACTTACTTGACCTCATCTTGTCTTCTGTATTTGCTTCTTTCAATACTCAACCCACCCCACCCTGACTTGCATTGATCTTCCCTTCCTTCCGACAGAATTCAATCGCCTTCATCGATGGGAGATGACACGGGAAACGGCAGAAATTCTTTCTCTCAGGGCAATTGGCCCGGCTTTCCCCCTCAATCACCTCAAGGGAACCACCTAATGCCCGGTGTTTACCCCTATCCTACCTCATCGGTCAGTCAATAACTGATTACATTGCGCTTCGTGGCTTTAGCGACTAACGTTCTCGCATATAGCACTATTCTCCATCCTCACCGTACTCGCCAGTATCGACCTCGAGAAGTATCAGTCCAATTGATGGGCTGCATCCAGATATGAACTTCCTCACAGACGGATTAATGAACGATATTGCGGGTGTGCATATGGCAAACAATGGCATACAGGGACTACCTGTGGGTGACAATGACTCATTGTCTCTGGTAGTCCCTACTATCCCTCAAGCGCAGGGTGGCATGCACGCCAATCATCTTGATTCTCTTCTGTCACAACTTGCGACTGCAGTTGAAACGAAACTGCCACAGCAAGATGCAGCTCATCTTTATGATATGAAAGCCCAGCTCAGTTCCAGCCACAACAGACTTATCAGAATGATTCAGCACCAAATCGATACTATAGAGTATTCATCTCATTCGCCCGGTTCGTCTGACTCTGGCAGCACGCACAATGGATACAACTACGTCTGCAAACTCTGCCCCAATGGAAAGCGCAATTATTATACGGAACGAGGTAGCTTCAGGCGTCACGTCTCAGACCAACATCACTCTGAATTTCGCTACCTGTGCCTGGCTTATCCAAATTGCCGCTGGTCAGCATACAGGCGGGATAAGGTTTATGACCACATGAGGATTAAGCATAAATTTTTTAGAGCGTCTCGAGAGCAGGCAAATCGAAGGAGAATTAGACAGACCCCACCACGCCAATGTGGGCTATGTTTACAGCCCGTAAATTGCTGGGCGGAGTACTTCACGTGCGTTGCCAACCATTGTCGTGTCAGGAAAGCCGGTTCGACCAATTCAAGCGCAAGCCAGAGTAGACGGGGCAGTGATGATCGTGGCGGAGGGCACAATAACGGACCTGGCTTCGGTGGGAATTTCTTCCCTGGAGGTGGTTTTGGTCAATTTGGTCCACACCAGTTCTACCCTGGCAACAATGGGGGATTTTCTTCGACTGGTGGCGGTCAGAATAATGGCTATTATGGTAACAGTTTCTCTGGCTACAGGGGCGCTACAAACCGAGATGACGAAGAGTCTACCTCAGGCTACTCCTCCGGTGAAGCTGATGCTGTCTCAGATATAGCTCCATCATCGTCTTGCTGCTCCAGCGACGTACCACATACGTTGGAAGTTCCTGTCCCATCTAATATCACAAGCCAGCATTTGGCACTGATGCAGATGGCAGAGAGAGCTGAAAGCTGCGACTCGGTCTCCCACGGCGAGGATTGCCCGCCATCCACACCTGGTGAAACGGATATAAGCAACCCGGGCGACAAAGCTTATCGTCGTATATCACGGCGTTCCGGTAACACGGATCCAATCCCCAAGCGGAGCTTCCGTCCTAAGACTGAAGATCGTTCCGAGAAGCGGTGTCAAGGCTGTGGACACACTTTCGACGATTGCGATAAGTGTCGTCGTCTAAAGGGAACTTCCTTCCAGTGCCACTTGTGCACAGATAGTACCTGCAAGCTCCATGCTTTTGAGAGAGACCTCATAGGAAGCAGAGAACCGGAAAGCTGCAAACATCCAGTTGATGAAGGCGATCTAGGTGTTCCTGCGCATCCACCCTGGACTCATGATTGGTCCCTGTCGCCAACTGAGCACTCTTTGGAGGCTTCATCCCCTTGTCATTATGACCGGCATACTAAACCTGAAGAAGATCATCATCTTGGAGCTCAAAAATCACCGGGTGGTCATACCCTTGGCCTGGGAGCCTTCAATGATGGGGAAGTACATTCTGGCAGTCCTGGTTCTCTTGGTCGGGATTCGCCTGTTGGCTCTGAAGTGACTTGTTCCCCTATAAGTCTGGACAATTCGTATTGCCAAGCGCTGCCTTCTCTGGACACCAAAGTACCACAAGAAGGAATTGAAGCTGCCCATGGATATGGAAGCGGTAAGCTAATGATGACCGAGGAGTTGAAACAAACACTTGATATGTTGTCTGTTGCAAAGTCGACATATCAGTCGTACGAAATCCTCTCATTCTGTGTCCTGAATGCAGTGCAAGAATTCTTCGATCAGATGCTTGTCTCTTGGCTCGTCTGCGAGGCCGCCCTCCTAAAATCAGTGTCATTGTCGTACTGTGGGTGCTTGCCCCATTCTCCTTCCATGGATGAGTCTGCTAAATGAGTCTGCTAAACATCGGTCTAGGTATCGGTGGAAAGGGCATTTCGGGGAAACAAACCGAATCCGCCATTAGTCGGCGCTACCTACCCTATCCATGGGAAAGGATGTGTTACCAATCCACAGCTAGACGAACTCCGCGGAGAAAGCATTCACTGCTGCGAACGAAGCTCCAAGTGATCTCCGGGGTCCTCATCCTGCGTGCCACTGTTATGAGGAGGAAGCCATTGATGAGTTCATCCACAGACACTTCTGCGGAAGCTGAGCCTAGCAAGATAGGTACTGAGCTCCAGGTACTCGAACCACCATCTTTCGAAGTGATGTTCAGCCGAGGCACAGAGGTGGTAGCGGACGCATTCTCCAGCTTGATCACCGGCGTCATGTCTGCAACGGAAGAAGAGATGGAATACTTCAAGCCCCTATCCGCGCATTTTTCGAACCTCTTCACAAGGGGCTCGTGGCTGGGAGACGAGAGCCTGATTGAGTGACTCTATTGCCTCTGTAGAGGCTATTTCGGTTGACTATTTTTAATGTGTACTGAACATTTTCTGTATTGACGAATCTTACGACCGCATGGCTTGATGTTTATATCCCTTGCATGTGTATGTTAATATGTGACACGAGCTTTATGACTCGCTAATATGAATAATGATACAAACATTGAATCATCAACTATGCCATTGTCATCCTCCGCATCCGGCATCGGGGATAGGAGTTAACAAGCCCGCGCACTCCGAGATGACATAACCGACCGGTATCGATAAGCGGTGCCAGCAACAACGATAGTATTTCGGAGCCAGTCATTGCCGGCCAATTGAAGACGCAGCCCGGACACCTCCCCCCTTGTCCTTTATCACTAATTGCTCTCCCTTGCTATTGGAAGTCGGGTGACAGACCCTAACCGACTAGCCTGCTATGATATGATCCCAGTCGCCCATTCACCGACTGCTCCCAAACCCCCTCACGTTTTCGGCCGATCATGAGTACTAGTCCTCCGCCGCCGTCTGGCTCGCCCCCCGCCCAACCGGGGTCTCCTCCGTCCCGAGATTCTGGAACTGTATGGCATCCCGCTAGGGAATGGTTGGAAGAGGACGAAGATGAGGATGATATGGACTATGAGCCGGATGAAATAGAGGCAGAAGAAGAAGAGCTAGATGCGGAATTGTATGAAGACGACGAAGACATTGATGATGCGGATGATCATCGCTTCGGTAGGATTTCCCCCCCCTCCTTTACAACTGGCACATTGGCTTGCATGCGTTGGATTTACTTCTTCTTATTCTGGTGTTTTTTATTCTGAGAACTTACACCTTTTCAAAGACCCGGAATTGCATCTAGGTAATATACATATTGAATTCGCCATGGATGAGTCGGATCATGAGCAGCAGGGTGAGGAGCGTCACGAGGGAAGGCACAATAGAGGTAGCGTTCCCGCATTCTTTTTTGTTGCTCACTGCTGCTGCTTAGGACACTCATTGTAGCAGTTTCCGCAGCTCGATTATTGAACCTTCTGGCTTCGAATGGACTGCGCCATATCCTACATTATAACGGACTACATGACGCCAACGTGGTAGAGGACGACGAAGAAGAAGATTACGAGTTCGGGTTCTTCGGTTACCGGCGACGAGCACGACGATCGGGAGGTCAGCAGTTTCCCAAGGTACCAAGCGAAGAAGGAGCGCAGCTCATGGGTTCTGGTGATTTCGGTTCCAACCCTCATTATGTGGACAAATTGAAGAGGCGCAAACAGGCCCTGGCGACGAAGATCATGTGGCGAGAACTGGGTGTGGATGTGTCGGGGCCGCAGAGGAGGGATATGCAGTCGATAACTCAGGTGGGATTTATTCAACTGGGGAATACGATTGGTTTTGGCTGACTGTTGTAGGGACTTATCCCTGGCTCGGTGGCGGATAAGATCGTTCATTTCGACTCGCGGTGCTACTCTGGCCAGTTCTCGGACGATGGGAATTTCTTCTTCTGCTGCGCTCAGGACTTCAAGGTCAGGATGTACGATACGTCCAATCCGTTCGAGTGGAAGTATTACAAAACCGTGGACTACCCGTTTGGACAGTGGACTATCACCGACGCCAGTCTGAGTCCGGACAATAAGTTCCTGGCGTACAGTTCGATTCGGAATTTGGTCTGTCTTGCGCCCACGGATCCAGCAGACTCCTCTGACCCGGCTATATTGGATTTGTCGTCGCTTTCAGGAAGGCGAGGCGGGCGTGGCCTGTATGGCAATTCTCATTTCGGGGTATGCACAAACCGGTTAAGAGCGGGCCGTCTCATTTTAGCTGACTGGTATAGATCTGGTCGATTCGATTCTCGGGCGACGGTCGGGAAATCGTGGCTGGTACATCCGATCAATCGGTGATTGTTTACGATTTGGAAACGCGCCAGTCCGTCCTGCGGCTGCAGAACCACGAAGACGACGTGAACGCTGTCTGCTTCGGCGACAAGTCATCTCCCCATATTCTCTATTCGGGCTCGGACGATACCACGCTGCGAGTGTGGGACCGACGCTCGATGGGCGACGGGCGCGAGGCCGGTGTATTCATGGGTCATACAGAAGGGTTAACTTATGTTGACAGCAAGGGCGACGGGCGATACGTACTATCCAACGGCAAAGATCAATCGATGAAGCTGTGGGATTTAAGAAAGATGATGACGACAGCCAAGTTCGACACCATTGATGTTAACCGATACACGACCGGTTTCGACTATCGATTTGAACCCTACCCCGACGACTATTACGAACCTCATCCCCATGACTGTTCGGTAGTAACGTTCCGGGGCCACCGCGTGCTCAAGACTCTTATTCGCTGCCACTTTTCCCCTCCGGGAAGCACGAACTCGAGATATGTGTATACTGGCAGCGAAGACGGTAAGGTATATGTATATAATCTGGATGCCACACTTGCAGGCACGATTGATGTAGGGCAAGCGACGGCCAACTCGCGGCCGCGCGATCCGGATATCTTCACCGCTGCATATGAAATCCGTAGCAGTCGCAGCGATGTGATGTGGAAGACATGCGTTCGGGATGCCAGCTGGCACCCGAACTGCCCTGTGTTGGCAGGTAAGTTATCGCGGCTGTGTGGATGAGATTGAGCTAATCTGAGGCTGTAGCAACGTCCTGGAATGGTTGGGGATTGTCCACTGGTACGTGCACACTGCATACCTGGAATGACGGGGTGGATAGCGATGAGGGCGATCCGCCGGTGGCAGGGAACTACGACAGCCGACTGAACTCGGTTCGGGAATTCAACTTATTCAGGGAGAAGATGCAGAGCCGAAGTCGACCAGTCCAAAGATCTGCATTGGACGATGAGTTACATTATGAGTTATGGTGATGAGAATTTGGACGTATACGCAGGCAGGTAACTGCATCCGCTTTCTTTTTCTCTGCATGACTGCCATGGCGTTGGCTGGCTAGCTGAATATAATTGAGGATTGCCAAAAAGACTGGGATAAGCAGGTAGTCATAGAATGTAATTAGCTCGTTCGAGGATGGGGTTATCGATAACGCGATCACATATAGTCAACAATCTAGGCCGGGCTATGAATAGCACGGTCTCTCTTTCTCTCTCGGACGGAGAAGCAAATGGCCGGCGTGAGAGGCAGCACTGCTCTCCACGAACCATCACAGCAGACAGAGGACATTGCACATCTCTGATGGAGTAGTTCACAGCTGAAGAGAAAATTCGTGAATCATTTGCGATCCTGATAGAGTTCGAAACAACACCATCCCGACGCGTCACGATCTGGGGTCCGGAGCGGAAGTTCAACCGAAGCCGAGAGAAGGCCGGAGGAGAGTTGAGGTCGAGATCGCCGCTGTCCTTCCTCTCTCTTGTCTCTTGCTTCTGCTTCCGCTTCCCATCGCGCTCCACCCGCAGTCTGCCTTCGGACACGTCTTCCCACGCTTCCATCCCATCCCCATCATCTTCCCCTAACCCTATCCCTTCTTTCTTCTTTACCCTCTGCATTCCTCACTTCTCCGCTCTCTCCTCTTCTTTCGCCACCCTCCGGCGTTAGCGGCGACGAGTCAGTCAGGGGATTCCAGCTGGACGTGTGAACCAGCGGACCTGACCTTAACCTGAATTACATCAGTCTCGTGAGGGCTGAGCTGAGCTTGGGAAACTAACTGCGCTCACCGACGTTGTTTGCTGGAACATAATTCTTTCTTCTCCTTCCATTTCCTGTACTCTCTCATCTCTGGAAGTTCATTCATATCTCTCGGACTTGTTCTCTAGCACAAGCGCTCTGCCGGCCCCGGCAGCAGCTGATCATCGGCGCCGCATCTTCTGTGGAAATTACCTACTGCAACTCTCTCCCTTAACCCAATTCTACTACCCTTTCCCTGTACTGAAGAAAAAAGAAAAAGTCCTGGAACAAGGCGCCAGAATCTCCGTTTCAGAGCTATCAGATTGACGAACTGGTCAAGTGTTTGTTCTTTTTGAAGCTGTCTTCGCTTCGGATTGTACGTATCATCAAGCCTTTTTTATGTTCCTCTGTTTTGTTTCGATTGCATCTGCAATCGATCTCGCATCTTGTGCTTTGTCCCCTGTGAGCTTTAAAGAAGAACCAGAGTGTTGAAAACAAAAACCGTGGATTTCCTGCCATCGGAGTCGGAGGAAATGATCCCAGAAGCCTGCTTTTGTTATTGTTGTTGTTTTTTTCCTACAATATCCAGTGGATGAGAATTCCCTCCTTGCTAATTGACCGCCTGTGTCTACAGACATGTACTTCCCTTGAAAATCAAATCGATCCTGAAACTGAGGAGAGAAAGCAGAAGAAGAGCCAATATCCGAGGAGGACTGTATATCACAAGCAAGCAATCAAGTTTTCCCTTGAGAGAAATCCGATCATAAGCTAAATCACCATGGCTACCGAAGATGATAACTTCGATATTGACATCTATGGAGATGGCGGTGGCTACAATGCCAATGAGCAGGGGCCCGAGGATGAGATGAAACATGATGATACAGAACTTATCCTAGATGCGCCGGAACCCACACAACAACAGAATGGGAACCCCAACCACCAAGGCGACGGCTCCTCCGACGGCACCGTCAAGCCCGACAGTGAAGGCGGCGCTCCCCATAGTGACCCTGTAACCCAGGCGGGCTCCGCCAACCCTCAATCCGCGGCCAAGGAGACTCCTACCCCCCAGCAGGGAACCAAGCGCAAGGAGCACGATGATCGCCCGACAGACCCTGATGCTACCCCTGCTCTGCTCATATCGGACTTGTATTGGTGGACCACGGACGACGACATCCGCGGCTGGGTGTGCCAGGCCGGCTGCGAGGATGAACTGAAGGACGTAACGTTCAGCGAACACAAAGTGAACGGTAAAAGCAAAGGGTAAGCAGGATGCAGGATGCAGTTGCGGTAGTGACATCCCCAGTCCACTGACGTGGTGTTGTTACATATAGACAAGCGTTCCTCGAATTCACCACTCTCCAAGCAGCCACCGCAACGAAACACAAGATCGAGTCATTCAGCGCCGGCGGACAAACGCGCAAACACATGGTCACCTACACCAGCCCGCAACCGAACCCGTTCCGCACGCTGCCCAAGGATGCGCCAATGCGCAAGGACAACCAGGCGCGCTCGATGTCCGGCGGCTTCAACTCGCCCAACCCGAACATGAACTTTGGCGGTGGTATGAACAACATGGGCGGCGGCGGCGGCGGTTATCGCGGCGGACGCGGTGGATACAACAACCGAGGTGGCATGTCCGGCGGCATGGGTGGTGGTAACTTTGGCGGCAACCGGAACTTCCAGAACCCCATGGGTGGCTTCCAAGGGCCGATGGTGGGCGGAGGCTTCCAGGGTAATCCCATGGGGATGCAGAACTACGGTGGCTTCAATAACCGCGGGGGGATGATGGGCGGTATGCGCGGTGGCCCTGGCGGCATGCGCGGTCGTGGTGGTGGCATGGCAGGACCCAATATGATGGGAATGCCGGGGATGAACCCGATGGGAGGCATGGGGATGAATGCGATGCCGGGGGCGATGAATCCGATGATGGGAGGTATGGCGGGTAATATGGGGATGCAGGGTGAGTGATTAATCCCAGAAAGCAGTATTGATGTGTTCTTGTGTACTGATATAAAGCAGGACAAGGTGGATTCCAGGGCCCCAACCCAGCCTTTAACCAGGGATTCTTCCCTCCCAATCAGGGCGTCGGCGATGGATCATGGAACCCTCATGGGGCCAAGCGCAGTCGCCAGGAGTGATGCTGATGACCCTTTACACCTCCGTTTTTCTTCTTCCCCTGTTATCATTTCTTTCATTTCTCTGCTCTTCCTATCTATCAATATCTGGGTTTCATTGCGCGGGTTCGGGGAAATTGGTTTTTATTATCTGTTAGGGTGTATTAGACAATTAAGGGTCTGCAGAAACCTGTTTTTCGTTTTGCTGCTTGCTTGTCTGCATATGTAGTTATAGTTTGAGTATAGGAGTTGGTTGGTAGTTTTAGCTTATCATATCAGTTATCAAATAAGAAGCAGATAGCATACTTACAACATTCTAGATATTACTACTGCTATCTTGTAAGTACTAGGGTATAGTGACAGCGGAATGGAGCAACAATGCACCGATAACCCGATCGGCGGGAATTCCAGCCCCTCTTATCGTCATCTGCCTACAACCCTCTCTTTGATTTAGATACCCCTGCTGTTTACTCGGATATCGTGGTGATTCACTCACCCTCTTTGTTGTCTCTAATTGATTCCTATCAGCGACGGGAAATTCCCCAATACGCAGAATTTAACTCCCGAGTCAATCCACAACTTTCACCACCTGGAAGTAACACACTCGACGAGCTTCCCCGCATCCACTACTACACCTTTCCTCCCACACCACTACCTTCTCTACACCACCAGACAGAATACACCAGCACCCTAAGGAAAAACTAAAGAGCAAAGATGCAAGCCGTCCCCGAATCCCGCCAACAAACCTTCGAGGAGATCTACGGCCCTCCGGAAAACTTCCTCGAGATAGAAGTAACCCATACCCTTTCCTCCCCCTCCCATAACCCCCCCCCCCTTCCCCCCATACCCCCCCAATCTAACCCATGAAATAAAAATCTAGGTCCGAAACCCCCAAACACACGGCACCTCACGCAACATGTACACATCCTACGAAATCGTCTGCCGAACCAACATCCCGGCCTTCAAACTGAAACATTCCGTCGTGCGCCGCCGATACTCCGATTTCGAGTACTTCCGGGATATACTCGAGCGGGAGTCGACGAGGGTCACGATCCCGCCGCTACCGGGAAAAGTATTCACGAATAGATTCAGTGATGATGTGATTGAGCATCGACGGGAGGGGTTGCAGCGGTTTTTGCAGATTGTTGCGGGCCATCCGTTGTTGCAGACGGGGAGTAAGGTGTTGGCGAGTTTTGTTCAAGGTATCTTTCTTTCTCTTTCATTTATGCCCTTGGGGGATTATATGTTTATGTATAGGTTGGGGTGTATGGCTAACTTTTGGTGTGTGTTTGTAGATCCGAATTGGGATCGGAATGCGTGGTAGATTCGGTTTTACTGCGTTGTGGTAGGAGGGGATGGAGGGGTTGAGGGGTGAGTGGGTTGGGGATATGGAGGGGATAAGGAAGGGGTATATGGTATGGGAGAATGAATGAGAGGAGTATGTTGAAGGTGGAGGTGGAGGTGGAGTCTAAGGAAAGATGAGTTTTCTTTTCCATTTTCATTCTGTCTTGCCTGGCGGATATCATGTAACTAGCGTTCTGTTTGTCTTTTTGCAACCAGTGTTTGTTCTGTCATTCATGTCTGTCTGTTATCTTAGCATAAAAGCTGTTATCATCCTGAGCATCTTCAGACTACTCTCCATGCAATCTACTATGCTGTCTGCATAAATCAATAACACTTCTCTACTGAGTTTAAATGCAACTACACTAGCTATGCAGGTATCTATGCAGCTCGCTATGCAGCTATGCAGTATGCACTAGGTAAGCTCATCCCACATCGGCGCCAACGTATTATCTGCCCACGTCGCATCCACTCCCGAATTCTCGTCCATCGCAAACGAAAATACCCCCGCACTGCTCGTGCTCTCGTGGAGTCCCTGCGGCGGGGCTGGAGGCGACAGCGCTGGATCGATTGGCCCACGCGCATTGCCGCTCTCCGTCTGTCCGCGAGCAGACCGTGCAACATGCTGCTTTCGAGGGTCAGGATTCCCCCCTGGCAATCGTCCGCTCACGGACCCTCCGTCCCGGTAGGCGTGCGGGAACTTGGTCCGAAATCGGTCTCGCAGGTCCGTGGCCCGACGGTGGCTCAAATTCAATCGCTTGTCCTGCTGGATTAGCGTCCACTGAAAGCCATGCACGGCGTAGCCTTTCAGCAACGCTTCGTCCTCGACCACGGTAAACGGGCGGCGTGAGCGACGCCGCGACTTCATCGTGAAGTGCGGCTCGGGGATGCCCAGGGACGCCAGCGTGGATTTGGATCTACTAGAGAGCGTAGGGGTAGTCTTAGACAAGGTGCTGTTCTTGGCCTTGCTGCCTTTCGAGTCAGCATCCTTGGAGCTGCTGGCCTCATTCACCGCAGCGCCACTGGCCTCCGTATTAGCCCCACGCGGGTGTGGGAGATGGATCTTCCCCGCTTGTCCGTCGGTCCCTTCGGTTTCGGCTCGCGAGAGGGCGTTCGCGAGCGTGTCATGCAGCTGCTTGGTGGCTTCATTGGGATCCGCGGCCCTTGATAGATTAGATGTGCACATTCGACAGTCTCGTTCAACTCACCGATATGCCCAGGGGCAACACACACGAAACCTAGAGTAACTTAGTTGGCTTCCAGTGTCTCCTCCACGTCCACATGGCTATACCATACCTATCTTTCAGATTGGATGCGCTACGCTTGTTGAACTTCAACTCCGGCTGGGCCAGAATCGCCGTCCAGTTGCCGATGCCGCACTTGACCACCCCGCGCAGCAGAGCAGTCGTCTCTTCCTCGGTCCACTTACGAAGGTTCTTGCGAGACCGGCCCCGCGTTTTAGGCGACAGAGGCTCGGTATTGTCCTCCGCGGAGGCGTCTTTATTGTCAGTCTCGGTGTCTGTCTTTTCGGTTCGTGTCCGTTCCGCTGCAGCGACATCGTCCAGCAGTCCGCTGGCGAGATCGCTCGCATCGCCGTCCACCGTTTTGTCGACCGGAGAATCAAGAATCTCCTCGATGCGACCTTCTCGTCGCTCCGCGATCTGGCTATCTGCAGCATTAGCAGTGAGTAAGCCCGGCTCCACAGCCTCGCTGCCTCGAGACGGTTTGGTCAGTAGCTGTGTGATCGAGCCGGGTTCAATTGGAGGAAGCAAGGCCGCATTCGGGGGCGGCTCGTTGAGACCATTGAGAATAGCAAAAGGGCCGAAGGGCGGTGGACGCTGCTCCTTTTGCGCCTGAGGAATAGGCAACTGCAGGTGTTCACTAAACGTGTCCGCCTGACCGCCCAAACGCCTGCGCTTGCGGAAGTGAAGGGTGTCATCATCAAACGAGGAGTAGGGGTATCGTTCTAGAGCGCGGAGATTGACAAAAGCCGGGAGAATTGGCCGGGGAGGCGCCTCCAAGCTCGGGAGGGAGTCCGCAGGGGCATCCGACTTCTTCGGTCGGGGAGCAGCCGCCCCTTCAGTGGCTCCGGATTGGGCCGAGTCATTGCGGGCAGGGAGGATGCCAGGATTGTTGTTACTGGAGGGTTCCCGGACGTGACTGGCATTGGGTTCGAGCGGGGAGGGCACAGCCAAGAGGCGAGACACCGGCTGACGGAGGGGAGCAATGCGGAGAGACTGAAGCTGGGGTAATTCGCGAATCAAGGATTCGTCGAAGGAGCGGGTATAGGAGCCGTTGGAATCCATGGCGGGGCACCCATACACCCAATCAGGGGATGATCACTGAGGGATGAAGAGCACCATGTAGAAGGAGGAGGGAGATGCCACTGCCATTTTCACGGATGATGATAGTTGGGGGAGTAGAGATGCAGATGGTGGATGAATTGATCAGACTTGATTAAACGTACAGGCGGGCGGCTGATGAGTCAGCAGGCAGTTAATTCAGCAGTGGAAGGAGTTACTGTTGACTATTAACCAACGTAGGTAAGTAGTTGCATAGCTAACAATATGAACTGCAGTATAGCTCATGATACGCTACGTAATGAATAGATATAAGTATTTGTTGAAAGCAATGGTTGAGATGAATAGTGCAAACAGCATAGCATGCACTGTTCCAATGGATCACTTACTATGGTATTCAAATCATCAAAGCAGTCACCAGTTTGACTCCTATTCATACAGTACAAGTAGTTAGTTATAAAGATGGGAAATATCCAAATATAGCAATCCAGATATTAGCAGTGTACATACCTACTATACAGTAGTATCCAATATCAACTGCAATTCCATCAATCAACCAATTTCGTCCTATAGAACCAATCAATCCTACACCATCCCCACTATGCCCAATCCAGTAATCAGCTATCCATCTCCTCCATATACTAACTCTACTCCTACCTCTCCCCATCCATACAACTTACACACCACACCACATACAACCTAGCAACATCTCCCACAAAATGCCCACCAGCATATTCCCCCCAATCCCCTACCTAATCTACGGCATCTTCGAGCCCATCTCACTGTACATCTAATACCTTCTCTCCAACCCCCCGCCATAACCAACCAAGTTACTAACGAAATACCAGAATCGGCGGCTCCCTCTACCCCCACCTCGACGCCTCCTCCTTCATCCTGTCCCAAATCCCCCACAATCCCGACACCACCGGGACCATCACGCCCTCCTCGCTCTCCCTCGCCTACCAACTCTCCAACATCTACTTCCTGCTGGCGCTGCTCGGCATCGCCCTGATCCACAGCACCTCGGAGCCCAAAGTCCTGAGAAACTATCTAGTGTGTTTGGCGGTGGCGGATCTCACTCATATCCTGGCTGCGGGGTGGTCCATGGGGTGGGAGAGGTTCGTGGATGTGGCGGAGTGGAATGCCTTGACGTGGGGGAATGTGGGTGTTACGGGGGGATTGTTTTTGAGTAGGGTGGTGGTACTTGGGGGTGGGTTTGGGGGTGTTGGTGATGGGATGAAGGTGAAGAGGAAGGGGCATTGAGTTGGGTTCTGTTGATGTGCTGGGTGTACATACAGTGTAGGTAGTATGGGATGGATGGATATCGGGGACCCGGGGATTAAATCAATCGCCGTTGTAAAGTTAGTCACTAGACCACTAACCAGCTAAGCACAAAGCAAGACATAGATAGATGATGCTATGACATTGAGATCGACATTTATCTTTCACAGAGTAGTAAAGGGAAGTATACCGATTAACCTTCCCCTTTCAACCAAACCAAACTAAACTATCTTTTTCTTTGACCCGCTCGGAGTTATCCGATAGTTAGTTACCCACTTACACCCTCACCCTCATCATCATCATCACCCCTTCCCCTATCTATCTATCTTAACTACCGTGACTACTAACAGACTAACTTCTACTTCTAGCTTAGCCTACTATAACAGATCCAACTTGGTCTTTATCAAGAATAGATAGACTATTGCCAATGGTCTAGACCCCCACCCCTAGTACCTACCCTGTGAATCTTCGGCTGGCTGTATCCTATCCTATCCTATCCCATGACTGGTCGTTTAGTTAACTAAGTATGAACCTCCCCCCGGTTCGGATCAAAGGAAGTGCATGCATGCACCAAGCTCAAGGTCTAGATTTCAATTTCAATGAAGGAATTGCCAGTATGCTGATGAGTAGTAGTAGTAGAAATACATGCCCAAAGAAAGAAAGGAAAAGAGAACAGGGATTATCCGAAATCAAGAAGGAAGAAAAAGGGGGAATGATCACAAGACGGAAGGAAAAAACAAGACATCATTCGAATCAGACCAAATTGAATCAAGACAAGGAATAAAAGAAATCGTCATATTAATCAGTCAGCGGCTTACTTGCTTCTGTTTCCTGCTCATCCTACCTCTGCTGCCCTAGTACGCGTCATATTACTGCCCCCCAATTGTTTGCTGCCTAGCTGCCATTCATCCATTGCGTCTAGATGACATCTGTTATTGCCCCAAGCTCAGACCACGCCACGTGTGTGCTACTAGTTTAGTTGGTGGGTACCTGACGTTGCAACTGCTGGAACAGTTGGTGCAGGGCTGGCGGGCCGTGCTGTTGGTACTCCCTAATGTGCGGGAAGAGGAAAGGGAGGCCCGGCGACGTTTGGAACTCCTGTCGGTAGGCCACAAAGTTCTCCGTTGGGTCCAGCAGGCACGCTAGTGCAGGGGGCAGCACCGGAGTCAGTGTCATCCGGTTGGTGGCGCTGTCCGTGTGCGTGAAGGTCGGGTTGGACGTGCTGTATTTGTAAAGACCGCTGAGAATCGCCGTGAACGAGTGGTAGTTGCGGTAGGTGTAGAGGGCCTGTGGTTGTCAGTACGTGATTCTTAGTTATGCACTCCGGCAGAGAGGATGGGTGTGGTCTACCTCGACAATTTCCTGAATGTACCCTATCATGTCTGGTAGTCCCGTGCAACATTCCCACACTTCCAGGCTTCGTAGCTCCCATAGCACTAGGAGTCGTTTGATTATGGCGTCTGGCTCCACGAAGCTCTTCTGACTCAACCCAGAAAAGTATTCCTCGTCAAGGGCGGTGGTGGTCTTGGCGAAATCGAGAGCCGGCGCTGGGTTCGTCAAATCTAGCTCGTCGAGCAAGGGAAGTTCAACCGAAAATGGCTTCGTCCAGTTCATCTCCCGCGCGTGGACGTATGTTCGTGTGAACCGTACCCCCAATACCGAGAGCTCAAGTAAAATGGCCTTCAGACTCGGCAAATGCTCCTTGAATAGCTGCTGAATAGGCGCTGCGATGAACTGGAAGCCCGGGTACGGTGTGCTGGCTGGTACTGGCTGTCTCAAGGCATGTAAGCACCGGTTCACGGCACGGTGCGCGAATGGGCTGCGAGTCTGAAGATGCTAGTCCAGAGTCAGTATTTGGCAGCGGAGCATCATGCCAGATATCAATCACATACCTGTTCCACCTCTTTGTACTTCCCCAGCTCCTCCGGAAACATTTGCAAATAGTTGAGCAAGTGGATGTAAAGCGAGGTATGTTGTTGTAAAAACCACTCTACCGAGTGTGCTCGGTAGCCCAAGAAGTAGCGGACCAGCTCCTCAAACGAAATCCGTGTGAAATGCAGATGACTCTCCGTGTCGATGGCTTCTGCTATTGCTATCGAGGGCATGTCACTATCCCGCTTAGTAGGAAGCCAGCTCCAAGGTTCGAGTGGAGGACCGGAGATCTGACATCGTCGAATGATTTCCTCGACCTTCTGATAATGGGACAGGTTGTCGATGAATGCCGTCTCGTGCGGCTCCACGAGCGAGTACAGGAACGCAGTAATAGCTTGGGGATCGCGTTTTTGAAGAGACTTTCGCGGGAGGTTGCTGTCTCGAAAGAGTCCGAATCGAATCACCCGCTTGATCTCATGGGGATCAAAGGCCCAGAACACGGTGGTGGCCTCGTCCTCCCACCATCGATACGTGAAGAAAGTCTGGGGGACCTCGCCCGAGGGAAACAGTTCCAGGTAGGTCGGCTGTCCCGTGCCTGGGAACGGCACGCTGGCCGAAGGCGAATACGCAGACATGCCAGAAACAGTCAAGATGGCTCGCAGGACCTTGGTTCAAACAACGGCGAAGGGTAACGGACTGTCCCTTTTGACACTGGAGGAGGCTACGATTCAGCAACAGAACAACATAGTGACGAAATAAGTAGCAGCGGACACCGTTGCCTTGTTCCCGGGGTCCTTTTATCCCTGTAGGTGTACTACCAATGTGTGATCGGAACCAAGCCCTTCCCGATGCCAGGTATTGATATCAACATTCTAGAACGTCCCCCAGGATCAGGCATATAGGGCAGGGAATAGACGACGTCAGATGAAACAGGCCGGGGACTAACCTCACGGAAACCGGAAGGACGAGAGGGCTCGAGCCCAAATGTACACAAAGGAAGGCAAAAAATGGGTAGTTGACGAGGGCACACCGGCCGGCTTCCAGCAGGTTGAACGAGGGTGTATTGAATGGACCGGGAACAGGGACCGAAACAGAAACAGAAGTAGAAAACCAGATAAGGGGATTAATCCAAACAGCTAGCTCTATTGTATTGCACCGTGCATTGCACCATCAGAGAAATCTGCAGAAAGCTGGCCACGACGGATGATAGACCTTATCTTCCTTCAGCTGGTGCAAACTACTTTCCGTTCTTCAAGACCTTTTGCCACGTTTGACAACTCACGGGGAGAGCAGCTGGATAGGCGAGGAGAGCTTCCATCAACGAAGCACAATAATGCTGCTCCTGCTGCTGCTGGTGCTGCTACTACTGCTGCTGCCTGTGGCATCCGAGCGGCCAGAAAGCATGGCGGCAAGTGGCGCATTACAGGACAGAAAGAAGAAGGGCAGACGAGGGCTGATCCAGATCCGAACCACTGGGACCCGGGAGCCAGGATAGGCTAAAGGGACGGAGATTACCTTTTGATACAGGAGCTGAAATCATGGCCAGGGCCTAGCAGTGGGCCGACGACTCCAATCAAGCCAGTTGGTCGTCGCATCATTTAATCCTCGACTGTTGGCCAAGGGAAGGAATGCATTCTCCGGGCCCCTGGAAGGACCGTTAGGTCTTGGGGCCCGTCTAGGAGCAGCCGAGCAGACCCTCCCCACATGGGCTGTGAATAATAAACCGGATTCAAGCATCAATAATCGTCGTCTCCATAAATAATCGGGGCCGTTGGCAATAGTAGGACCGATAATAGTAACAATAATAAAGAACGCCAGCCAACGGCGGGCCAGTGGAACAAACAGGTAGCATTCTAGAGTGGAATAGGAATATGAGATAATCCTAGAAGGGAGGTAAAAAAATTTAATGAATAAAAATTAGAATAAAATTAATAGAATATTCAGAGAAGAAAAATAAATTAAAATGAAATTGAATATTTAGAAAGACGGAACAAGAAAAGAAAATAAAATGAAAATTGGATAAAAATCCAAAAAGGAAATTGGAGTGAGAGAGAAATCATACACACTACAGAGAAGAAAGAGAAGCGGTCAAGAAGATGGATGGAGTAAGAGGGAACAGATGGAACAGTGCGTGCACAACAGCACCCCGAGAGGGTCCTGGTCATGCAGGACTATTTCGGTTTCTGGAAGGTTCACTTGGGGCCGCATCTCATCGGCAATGAGACCAGACACAGAGGAAGAGACTATGTGAAAGAGAGAAAGAGAGAGAGATCAATCTTGTTCGTGTTCCAGAGCCGTAGCGGTGTACAATGACAGGATATTAATGAAGTCAACTATACATCAGCCTCGCGGGAGAAGACGAGGCAGTTGAGCCACTGAGCAGTAGTAGCTACAGTAGGAGCAGCTGAGCGAGAGGCGACATTCGTCAAGCGCCAGGAGCACGGCTGAGAGTAAGCCAGAGGCAAAAGGCAAAGCAAAGCAAAGCCATCGTTGTCACAGTCATGATGATGATGTTGAAGCATGAAGGGCTGATCCTCTAAACCCGCTGTGGAACCCATTAGCTACTTGGTTAGTTTCCTAGCTTAGCTGGCCAGACAGAAATGCTGTGTCGAAAGCTGGTCGCACACGGATATCTCCAGCTTGCTAGGTACGTAGATAGTCTAGTCGTATCCATCTCTTGTGTAAGATTGAAAAAAAAAAAAAAAAATAAAAATGAAACGATCGGGTGGCTAGCAACCTCTCTTGCTACAGCTGCGACTAAATTAGTGGGTGAAGCGAGTGCAATGCAGAAAAGCGTATCGCCGCTGATCGGGACGATGGCGATCGGGGGGATTGCTTCTGGGCGAACAATTGGAGTCTGCTTCTTTCTAGCGCCCCCAGATGGCCTGATTGACCTCGCTGGTTCATCGTCATTGGCTTCTCCTCATTTTTCTGTTAATTTTTTTTTACACTTCTCAACTCCAGTCCAGTCCACCCTCCCAGACCGAGGCAGGATTGAATGATGACGACGGCGGACTGGGCAATGAATAGATAGATAAAGCTAGACTGCAGTCCTCGGACGTGTCCACGCCAGTGTTACCCTCAACAGCCGACGTTGCATGTCCCACAGACCGGGGGGCAGACAGATGTGGATTCGGTCACCCAGGAAGGATTGACCATGATACCAATAGCAAGTGAGAGAAGAGATAGCCGTAAGTAGTCTGGAGAAAGAGAATGGGAGTAAATGAGGATTCGAGCAGCAGCGGAGGAGCTCGTGGCGGTGGGTGTCCTTTTGCCAAGCAGGATCCACCATCAAGAGAAAAAAGAAGATCAGTTCAATTGCTCTGTTCGTCTGATATATTCCAATCAATCAGTAAAGGAAGAAATGTAAATCCTTCAATAAATTTTTCCCTCTTTGCTTCTCCACGGTACCTGGTGCCTTAATTGATCCTAACTCTCAGGAACGCGTGGATACCAGAAGGTTGGAAACTATCGAGACAAGCTAAACTTCGCCTTCGGGTGGAATATCATGGCGGGATTTGTTGATCGAGCATAGCATCTCCACCCCGAAACTTCCATCCACTAGACTAGACTACCAGAGACCAGCCAGATATTGTGGCGCAGGGCAACAAGAGTTTGGAATCAGGGGCCCCGCTTAGGAGAAAACCCTGGTGTGCCCGGCATCAATTAACTTACTGTCGAATTATTAGACTAGATGTCTTTCCATCCACAATGGGAGGAGGCAATATTCTCGATGGACCACAGTAGGAGGCCGAATAGAAACCAAAAGTTAGAAATCAGCCATCCGAATCACTTCTGCTGCAATCATCAGACGCCGGAATTTGCGGGTTGCAGATAGCCACGGCAGCGCCGCTGCACACGGCTTCCCTCCACGTTGTGCCATTCACAAGCATCCCAGGAAGAGTAAGACATCTTCATCTTGGACTTTGGACCGGAGTACTCCGGCCAATGTATTCCGTGATGACCCTAGTCGTCGAGACCCGCTCATTCCGCCGCCGTTTTCGCGGCCACGGGGCGTCCCTTTGGCGAGAGAAGGGATGTCCAAGAAGTGAACGAATTGAAGCTTCCTTCCTTCCCTTAATTCTGTGTCACGACTCACCACTTTTGCTTCCTCGCCAGATTCTACATTTAGGCCAGTATGGTTACCATCCTGCAAAGACAGGGCTGTGTCGCTGAGCTGTCGCATGCAGAGAGGGTGACCTGGAACCTCAACGCCCCTGTACTTACTTTTACGGCCCGGAAGGTCCAGACTCGGAGCGGATAGCCACAGCCATGGCAAGCGACAACTATTGATGGGTGGCTGACTGGGCTTGTATGTAGGCGGGAGGAGTCCTTCTGCAAGAGCGCAACGGTTGTCAGGACCTTGCCAAACCCTAGATAACTAGCACTCGTAGTCCGTAGCCATGTTGTCACTCGGTTGCCTGGTCCCCCGTCTCCAACACGCCCGCTTACTTACATATGATGTCTACATACATACCTACATGATTGTTCTCTGTGTTTCCCGCATGTTGTGACGTGACGTTGTGCGAAAACAATCGCTTTCACAAGCCATCTGCCGTGCAGATGCGTGGGGGCTGCTTACAGCCAGAGCCTATAGTTGATCAGTATGTGGGAAGCATTATAGCTTGGTCACCATTCCCGGACAGCGACCTGTCCATCCAGATAGACGTGGCCAGCTAGTCCCGGATTGGTTCCGGACGTGCAGCATGCATGAGCCTGGCTCGGAGGCTAAGGAAGTATGTATGGTGTGCGTGGACGAGTGCGTGTGTGTAGAAGCGAGTTAACGGGTGGGCTATGTCACCGTGGCTTGAGACAAACATCTCGAAAGCCTCGCTCACAGGCCAGGTAGGTATATAACCTTCGTACTCATCTACCAAACGGAGAGAAGACCACTGCCGAGCATCTTCTGCTTTTCCAGGGCTCGCGGGGGAAGCAATATGTGAATACCCTTGGACTGAGCAACGGACACTGTGATACAAGTGTGTGCGATGCCACCTTTCCCTCGATGATCGTGCCGCCTCGATCCCTCGGACGAATCCTGCCGGTATCCTGCCTGACATGGCCGAGAGACAACCAAGAACCCTAAGGCACCTCCATCCACAAAAGGAAGATGGTGGGCATGCCTTTCCCAGACAAAGAGGGAAAAGAGAGCGGAGAAGGTGGACAGAGGGGAATAAGATACGGAGGTGGAAAAAGAAAACATTCAAGCAAAGGCGCAACCCGCAAGTGATGGATCGCAACCCCATCTTTCCCCCCCTGATCCTGTTTTCTGAGCTTAACCGAACCATCCCGAGCGCCAGAAGGCGTGGATCGAAAAGAAGTCCGACCACGGCGATGGTCGAATATCAATTATCAATCACAGTGAGATCGACTAGGTCAAGATGACTTGTCAGTTGACTTAACGCAAACTAACCCATGCGACATGGTGGCTAAGTCTGCATGGTCAGCACCCGATTAGTTTGGCGCTTCCTCTGATATGCCGAGGATCGAGGGGAGGAATCGGGCCAAAGGGGCGCCGGCAGGAGGATGTATCCAGATGAATCAATTTCTCTCTTATCATCCCATCCCATCAGTGCGACTAGAGCGGCATCTGCAATCTGCACCGGCATCAGCAACCAAGAACTAGATACCAGTCCGTCTGTCGAATACTCCATCGTCTCCTCATCCCACGCAACAACTCACATTTATTATTATTATCATATTCTTTTTCTCCCAATTTAGGTCCCGTCTCTTCTCGCTAAATCCCTCCTAATCCACTACCCCCCACGGCTAATAGGGAGAGGAGGGGAAGAGAAAAAGAGGAGAGGAGAAAGATGAGGAGAAGATCCATACTGACCTGCAGCAGCCCAGTTGACGTGTTACATTCCTACTTGTAGCCTTGTACAGAGTAGATGGGCTAAAGGAGATGTTCGGTTGGCTGAATTCAACGAAACCAAGGCAGCACAGGAGACCCCCCAAGACTCGCAATTCCTCATAGTCCGATGGGTCGACACTGCACCAGATCGACTTCGGCCAACTGCTCCAGCCACTGTTCATTCTTCTCCAAGTGCAGCTTCCCTTTTGGATCGGTTGGCTCCCGCCTTGGGATGTGAGACGTAAACTTTTTTCCAAGGTCCCATGAATGGATTGCATCTACCATCCCACCCTGTTGTCCCCGGCACCGTAGCATCCCTGTTAGAGGTCACGACAGGGTGGACTCGAGGCGATGGGCCGTCCAGATAGTAGCATCTGCGCGAGTCTTACCGTGGATTAGATAGATCTGCTGGGGTGGCACGGGAGTATCCGGCGGAGTTGCTCCGTGAATGGGTCGGGGAAATAGACAGACAGAAGGGGGGGACGAAAGGGAAGGTGAGAGGTGGTAAGAATAAGAAGTGTCCTACTGCAACTGGCCCAGTTACAAATTCCAGGAAAGGAATGAACTAAGGACTTAAGAATTAATGGTATCATACAATCACAGGCAGACAGACTTGGCATCTTGACCTTGCTTTAGTGTACAAGTCTACGGTACAGTAGTTAACAGGTGTAACTTTGTGTCCTGTAGACAATTCTTTCTCTTTTTTTGTTCTGGATAACGCTTCATATAATTATCGTAACCGGCGTCATACAGGTCCACAAAGCAAGACAAGATGTCATCGCCACAGCGGAATTTTTCAACGCTTTTATTTTTCCGGCAGCCTACATCACTTACCATGCCACATCTACTGGAGGGCACGGCGGCGGTCACGCTCCTCGGCGATGGAGAGCTTGACACCCTTGCCCTTGGGCAGGGAGATCCAGGGCTTGTCCTGACCGATGACGAAGACGTTGGACTCACGGGTGGCGAAGGTGTTGTCAATAGCGTCCTTGATGTGGACGATGTTGAAACCACCATCGTGGCGCTCACGGTGGGTGACGACACCGACACGACCCATGTTACGACCACCGGTGGCCATGGCGACAACACCAGTGTCGAACTTGACGAAGTCGGCGATCTTGCCAGTGGCAATGTCGATCTTCACGGTGTCGTTAACCTTGATGGCGGGGTCGGGGTAACGGATTCTATAAGGAAAGCCCTTGTTAGCACGCTTTGTTCTCACGTTGCGGCTCCTTACTGTGTTCCAGCAAAGAACTGCGATTCTAGTTCTGTCGTCCTCCGCCGATCAACCAAAGCTTGGTCCAACGACTGAATGACGCGGAACTTGTAGAGAGTATGCACTCACGTTCTCGCATCGTGCGTAACCAAGAATGGGATCCCGCCCTTGCCGAGCTGAACACGCTTGACCTTGCAGAGCTTGTACTCGGCCTCCTCAGCCTGGATGCGGTGGACGGTGAAGCGACCCTTGGTGTCGTAGATGAGACGGAAGTTCTCGCCGGTCTTCTCGATGCCGATGACGTCCATGAAGCCAGCGGGGTAGGTAGGGTCGGTGCGGACCTTGCCGTCGACCTTGATCAGACGCTGCATCATGATCGCCTTGGTCTCACGGCCGTTAAGGGCGTACTTGAGACTATAAACCTGTCAGTCCACCGATTCCTCATATTCTCTTCGATTCTTTCGTAGTCGCTGGATGGCTCGTACCGGTTGCGGATGAAGACGATCAGGGGCAGGCAGTCCCGGAGCTTGTGAGGACCGGGGGAGGCCTTGGGGGCGTAGGTTCCGGACATCTTGTCCAGGAGCCAGTGAGAAGGCGCGCTAAGGCGCTTCTGGTGCTTCTTACTGTTCGAGCATGGTGGTTAGTATTCAACTCTTCAAAATCTTCAATTCTTCTGCCGTAGCGAACAAAGACCGGTGAAAACGCAATTCCACCGATAATCTCGCTCCGTGCAGCAAGAACAGCGTAGGGCGTGTAACTCACGGTCCGCGAGGCATCTTGGCTGCTTTGTCGACTTAAACCGGTTAGTTGTCGAAGTGTCGCGAGGAAAAGAAGGAGACGGAACAAGGACTTCAGCGGCTGATATCCAGCCCATCTGCATTTTTCGCTTAGCGGCTGGTGCCAGCGGGGCTTAGCCCTAGCACTAATACCGTTCTTTAGGCTAGCCACACTAGTCCCGACCAGTACTAGCTTGGTGGGTCACGCATGTTACATAATCAATACTGGGTCTAGGCTTCATTAAATAGTATGGGCTATTGTTCAATGCTTTTTGCTTTTAGTAGCTGAAATATCTAGAAACAAAAGGATATCTGACGCCGTCTAATCGCTATATGCCATAGATCTCTTCACACGTTTAGATGTAGCCCTTGATGACAGCAACCTCCGCGTTGAGGATGGACGATCCAGCAGCGCCGATAACGGTGTTGTGCGAAAGAGCAGCGAAGCGGAGATCGAAGTAGCCACCCTCATTGCCGTCGCGCACCCGTCCGACGCTAACGGTGTAGCCCTTGGAGATGTCCCGGTCCAGTCTAGGCTGGGGTCTGTCGGGCTCGTCGAACACCCGAATAGCCTGCGCGGGTGCAGAAGGAGCGCCCAGCTTCTGGGCCTCCGACTGGTACTCCCTCATGGCCTGGGCCACCTGCTCTGCGCTGGGAGCGGGGCGGTTCTTGAAGCGCAGGGAAACAAAAGCCATGTGACCGTCAGTGACTCCAACACGAGTGCAAGTGGCGCCAACACGGAGACCGGACTGCTCTTCGAAAGCAGTAGCATCGGCGTTCAAGGAGCCCAAGATCTTCTGAGCTTCGTTCTCAAGCTTGTCCTCCTCACCGCTGATGAAAGGAATGACGTTGTCCAGGATGTCCATGCTGGGGACACCGGGGTAGCCAGCTCCAGAGAGAGCCTGCTCGGTAAAGACTTCCACCTCCTCAACGGGTCCAAACTTGGCCTGCAGAGCAGCGAACGGAATAACGACACCAATGACTGCGCAGTTGGAGTTGCAAACCAAGAATCCCTTCTTCAGGCCGAAGTGTTTGCGCTGGTGAGGGATGAGGTCCAGGTGCTGGGGGTTGACGGTGGGGACGACAAGGGGGACGAGAGGGTGCTTGCGGTAGTTCTTCGCGTTCGAGAAGACGGGGATATCGGCCTTGATGAATTCCATCTCTGTAACAGTTGTGATCAGCAGGTAGTATTGTCGCCTGGGCAAAGAACCACATACCAACATCACCCGCAATGTCGCTGTTGAGTCCAGAGAAGACGAGATCGCAGTCAGCGAACTGTTCAGCCTTGCAGTCGCGAAGGACGAGTGTGCTAAGCTTCTCCGACATAGCCGTAGACTGCTTCCATCTCACGGCATCCTTGTACTGTTTGCCCGCAGAACGCTCAGACGCACCGACGGCGTGCAGCTCCAGGAAAGGGTGGTCGGCAAGCAGGAGGATAAAACGCTGGCCCACGGAGCCAGTGGCGCCCAAAACACCTGGATTTTATCAGCAACGCAGCCACAGATGAATCGCCAGTGTTGTATATCCATACCGCACTTCTTCTTAGGATATGAGGCCATTTTATTTGATATCGAGTAGGTCGCTCTGCGATTCTCGTGATCTGACAGTTGTCAATTACACGTCTTTGATAGATAATAAGACAACGATGGATGATTTAAACAAAAGCATTGGCATCAAAAATCTCAATTGGAACATGCTCACGGGGAGACATGGCCAACATCCGGTTGCAGCGCCTTAACCGACGGAGCCCCGCAAGGGATGAAAGCACAGTTGTATCTCCACCATAAGCAGTTTTGAAGATTGTGACACGATAGACAAACAGTTCGCTTTGCAATAGCCACAATGTGATTGAAATATGAGCAAATCAAACGAATTGCACTCACCTCTTAGACAATGATGCGGAAGTTGGAGAGGGACAAGAGTGGCGTTACCGATTAAAACTGCGATATCGCTCCGGAGCACATCTGCCCCGCTGTGACTCAGCCCTCACTACTGACTGACTAACCACTCCGTAGCATTCTCCGCCAATCTTATTGGTCGATTGCTCCGATCTTATAGAAATGTAAATGGCATCATTTTAGGGCCTTGAACTAGACCAAATATGGATGGGGTCAATATAGTTGGAAGTGACATAGTTGCTATGAAACTAGCCATTGGTATGTACAACCTTTTGTCTGCCCCTATTTACTATGCATATGCCATCCTCAGCTGAGAGATCAGATCGCGCCATCTATGCTTCGTCCTCATAATCGAAGATCTTGCCAGGGTTCAATAACCAGTGGGGGTCGAGAGACTTCTTGATGGAACGCATAATTCCAATCGTGCCTGGGCCAAGCTCCTTTTTCAGTGAATCTTTCTTGCCCAATCCCACACCATGTTCACCCTGGAAACTGGTCAGTCATGCTTTCAGGTACAAGTTCAGGTTGCGCATGTCTTACAGTGCAAGAGCCTTCCATTTCCAATGCACGATCAACCATGTCGTACACAACCTTTTCTACTCGCTCCCTTTCTTCTTGAATGGTGCGATCATATAAGATACTTGCGTGGAAGTTGCCATCTCCAATATGTCCAAGGATACTGGCAAAGATTCCCAGGTCATCGAGTTCTTTCTTGGAGATTTCTACTATGGTTAGCTAACCTCGAGGTACTGGGTTGCGAAAAAGCATACCAATAATGTCTGGCAACCTAGAGATCGGCACGGAAACGTCGGTTGACCATACTTCAGATCCTCGCTCTCTTAGCGCCAGCATACTCCAGAGCGATTGTTTTCGCGCAGACCATAAATCATGTGCTTCTCGCTCGTCTCTTGCAAATTCGAACGAGCTTGCGTTGTTGTTCTTTGCTAGTGCTTTGGTCAGGTTAATGCTATCCGCGACTCCGGCCTTGGTGCCGGAGAACTTGAAGAATAGAGTGGGCAATTTCTTCCATGTTCTTCCAGTTCCTCCGGCGCGGTTGATGACATCCATCTGTATCTCATCAAGAATCTCCATGCACTGTACTTGAATCCCTTTTCGAACAAGCTGCATGGCAGTGGATGCAGCATCACGTACAGTGGGGAAGGTCACCACGCCGACACGAGTCTGCTCTGGAATCGGCGTCAATTTCAGGGTAGCTTCAGTGACAATACCAAGTGTTCCTTCAGACCCAACAAACATTCCTGTCAGGTTATACCCGGCTGAAGTTTTGCGTGGACGGCGACGTGTCTTAATGACCCGACCATCCGCCAGCACGACAGTAAGGTTAATTACCCAGTCTTTCATGGTCCCGTACCTCACGGCATTGGTTCCACTGCAGTTTGTTCCAATCATGCCACCTATCATTGCAGACGGTCCAGGGTCAACGGGAAAGAAAAGACCGCTGTCCTTAATCTTCTCATTCAGATCCATCCATTGAATGGACGGTTGGACCACAACGTCCATATCAGATTCGTGCAACTCAAGTATCTTATTCATCGTCACGAAATCAATGGTCAAGCCGCCTAGAGGGGCCGAAAAATTGGCCTCCAGACTAGAACCTCCGGAGTAGGGTATCATTGGCATTTTGTATTTGTGACAGATCTTAGCGATCTTGGAAACATCATCTGTACTCGCTGGGTAGGCAATGGCAACTGGTAGACGATCAGCATTGATGCTGGACCATTCTGAAAACCCATGTTGTTGAAGATCATCTTTGTCGGTGCTGATGATCTCATCGCCAAGCGTGGCTCGCAGTTCTGCAATGGCCTGTTTGTTCAAATCGATGTTTAGTCAAGTACACATGATACACTATATATATATGTATATATATATATATACTGAGAACACGGGAGAGCTGGACAATTTTCTACCTTCTCAAAATCCTTCGCAGACCCATACTGGGGATGCTTGCTAACCAGAGACTGGGACTGTCCGCTCGTCACAGCATATGCATAACCGACACCCGCAGCCAGGGCAGAGGCTAACAGGGTCCTGCCTGAAGTCCGAGCGCCTGAACGGTTGCCAGAAGACCCAGTATTGGCACCGTTCTCCTGTCCAGCATTGCCGTCATTCTTGTGTCCTGCCTTTGAACTAGCCCAACGCACTGCTTGCTGAAGAGGGAAGGAATGGCGTGGCGAGAGGGCGCTGGGCCGGCATTGAAGGGCGCGGAGATGTGCGGGGAATGCCCGAGGCACCTGGCTGAGCGGCCGCATTGTCTCACGAGCTCGGATCCACGGGGAGTGAGGAATATTGCTATCTGTAAGATCATGGGCTGAATCGAGCAATATATATTACATTCCAAGTCCGGTTATAAAAGACATACTATGCCTCGAAGGCCGAAAATGGGGTCTCCGATTATCCAGTCGTAGCCCGTTACAGGAGCTTGGCCTCGGCGCGAGGAGAAACGTCATCGGGGCTAAGGATGAGACGTACAGCAGCTATCGGAAAAAGGCCGAGTAAAATGGCATAGACGTGCCCTTGCTGGATAGTGGAAATGGTCTTGTCCAAGTCTAGAGGTGCGGAAAAGTAGGTTCACCCCCACATTGATGAAGGGTGAGCACCGATGATTGATCCCCACGTTTGAGGGGTTGCTGCTTATCAATGAACGCGATCGGCCAAAACTCCGATGGTGCCTCAGGAACTCAGGCAGGCTACGACTTGGCAGGAACAGGCACACATGGCTCGGATTGGACCAAAAAGGTAGATCATCCTGCAAAGTAGCTATACCTTGTCACTGTAAAGGACAACGTGAATGCATAGAGCTCAATTGATATTTTAATAAAGCAATTACCGGCTATTCTTGCATCATATTCATTGTCCCCACTTGCTTATCTGCCAGGCTCCATATGGCCCGCGTCCAGCTGTTGATGGGGCAACCGGCTACATACAGAAGAACATCAGATCTTTCCCACCGCAGTCAAAAGACAAGCTAACGATAACCTCGTGGGGAACGGCACGCCCCATTTTATCTGTGGCCCTTAATTCTTTAGCTCATGGATACGCACTCCATAGATGGAGTCAAGTTAGCAGATATGCCAGATCAACAGAGTATTCGCTTGAGTCGCGAGGTGGAACGCCTCGTTACCGCCCCTTATGCACCTTCATTTCAGGTAAACTCCGCTACTCCACGCGAGTATCTTAGGTCAATGCGTTAGTTGCTAATCCACTGGCACATTCAGGACCTATATAGCTTGACTCAATCAACAACGTCACAAAGCATTCGACTGTGGGCCTCTCACAAGCCCTGTCAAATCGGGGCTCTAGTTGACGTGCTCGTGGACGGTCTATCGCGCTCTCGTTTCGCGTTGCCTCTACTTGGGACATTTGGTAAGCTCATTGTTTGTATCAGTTGCTTTGGCTTGGCTGATCTTCGGCAGTTTCAGCACCTGCTGTTCGGGATGCTTTGCTGGAGCGACATCCATGTCTTCTCGATCAGTTCCTTCAAGGTGCTATCGACGATGACAAGGCAGAGGTTTGTGCGCCCCTAACTTAAAGGGAATTGCTAGCCGCTGGCTAGCAATACTGTCGAGCTATGAGCTACATGGTCTGACCTTCTTAGTATGCTTTGGTGTGCACCGCCATCCTATCGTCACCTCTACCGCCTGAGTTCATGATACCCGCACGCTTGACTCAGTTTATGGAGAAGATGATACGTACTATGGGAGAAGATCCGCGTGCAGAAAATATCCTACCTCTGAACCAAATCTCTAATGGCATTAAAAGATCACCTCGACTCCTCGAAGAGATCCCGTCCGAAGTGATGGCTAGCCTTCAGGTAGAGCTCACGAAAACGCTGCGTAACCTGAGTGACCACATGGGCAACCTTCTCTGTCTAGCAACCTTTGCACGCATGGCATCCTTAGAAGATCCGGGGACCGAGAAAGGCTGTGTGCGGTTTGTTCCGTCATGGTTGCAAAGCGTCAACCATTTCTTTGGCCCCAAGCGGGGTCTCAAAACTTTGGACCTCGTCGTCCTGCGCGTTATTCTCGCTTGCTCCGATAGCTGCAGTGACTTAACGGTAGACAAAGCAGCCGAGAGTATTCGTCTGGCAATCGAGATATGTGATAGAGTCGAGCCAGAACAGAGAGAAAGCTGGGTCAAGGCAAACGGCTCAAAAATTGCCAAGCTACGGGAGAAGATCACCAGGAGTGGTATTGAATCTGGAGTTCAGATGCTAGTATGTGCTGGTTCATCTCGAATCTGCGGTAATGTGGACGCATGCTAATGATCATCAGGGTGCGACATTTTTGGCATCGCTGCTTCCAGTTGCCGCATTATCAACCGATATAGCCCGAGTTGCTATCGACGGGCTTATAAGTCCAGACAGCAAGTTCGTGCTAGGTGTGCTGACATCAGAGTATATACCACGCCTTGTAGGGGCAAGTGTGGTAAGTAGACCCACGTTGCCATCTGGGGCTATACTAACTCATTCAAGGCATGTTTAGGTGTGACCGCGATACGCAGTCTGCTTGAACATATTGTGTCTTCTTTAGATACTACCAGCTCTTCGAGCCTGACTCATATCCTGGTGGCCAAGTCGTTGGTCATGGGGCTGCATTCAGCATCGCTGAACTCCGCTATCTTTGCCGAACCTCTTGAACAATGTCAGCAAGTCATGTGGCAAATAATTGAAAGCTTTCCGAGAAGTCACGCTTCATCATCATGCCACGGCTCTCAAGAATGCGGAGCTACACGTTCGCAACTGGAAAATGAACTAATATATGACTTTCTATCCTTTTACCTCCACGCACTGCTATCACAGACCACAACTCAGGACACGGTAGCTGGTAATGCGACCCTACAGATGTTTCTGGCTCAAAACAAGCAGCTACTGCACAGCCAAAAATGCTCGTTCTCAGAAGCAGAATCAGCTCGTGCCGCGAAAACCTATACGACAGTCAACGTCCGTGAGGGCCTTTCCGCACCTAGTTCGCGGTCTGACTGGAGGAGCTCTATGTCAGAAACGCTCATGCTTAATGCGCGCGTGTCGAATGACAGCCTTATGCGTAGGATGGAGGAGGTGTGCTATGATCTCGAACAACGATGCAATGATGTCGAAGCCCCTCTGCGGACGATGGAGCAAGAGCGGAACGCGATTTCAGCCGAGGCGCAGCAGCTAAGGGAACAGAATGGCGCATTGAAGCTGCAATTTCAACAAGCATCCGATACAATTGGCGGGCTTCGGCTGGAGATTTCTCGCTTAGAGACCCATGCGGAAGCTGCATCCATCCGTGCCGAAGAATTGTCGGCAACTCTCGACGCAGCTCGAAGAGATCTTGAAGACCAGAGGCGCGAGTTTCAAGATACTATGGCAAGCAAGGTAGAAAAGGCCCGAACTAGGGAGTTGGACTTGGTCGCATCTATAACTGAAAGAGATGATCAGCTGGAATCGTTGCAGGATGAAATGATAGCCCAAAGGGCCGAGAACACGAACCTGCAGAACGCTCTAGATGAAGCCTCGAAAGAGAAATTCTCCCTGATTAAATCGAATGACTCCATCAAAGAGGATTTGGCGGGACTTGAAGAAAAGCTCCGACAAAGCGAACTGCTTCTAGTTCAAAAGGATGAAGACAAAGAGCAGATTGTATCCGAGAAGGCAGACACTGAGAGGGAAATGGAAACCCTTCGCATTCAGGTAGGATTACTAGTATTCCAATGGCAGGAATTGAGAGATGCTAATGGGTTTATGCAGCTTGAGGAAGAGAGGATGAAATCCCACGAGTTGGCATCCACTCTCGAGAAAACCGAAAGGGCCCTTCAAGTAGAACAAGAAACTGTCCGAGCTTATGAGGCTCAACTTTCGGCGGCAAGTACAAAGGTACAATCACGGATTGATTATGTACGGGAATCCCAGTTTCTAACGCACATTCAATAGTACGAGACCCAAAAGGAAGAAATATTCTCGCTGCGTATGGCCATGCAGGCAGCCGCATCCGACGCCACTAAGGAGCTGCAAACGAAGGATAAGCGGATACACCACCTAGAGAAGAAGGTAGGACAAGAAGCAGCCAGAAGCAGCAATTCCTCTTTATCTGTGTGCTTGAGCATCCACTTATATGTCATAATAGGTACAACAACTACGAAATGAGCGAGCCGCAAAAGCCCGGGAATTTTCTGAAGCCCAGCAACATATCGGACGCCTTATGAATGTTATGGGGATCCGAGTTGAGACTGACGGGACGAAAGCCCCGGGCAAACAGACGAGGAGGTCTAGTGCAAGACCCTCCCCGACAACCATGACACAGCAAACGCAACCGGCGGAGGACGAGCTCCAAACCCAGCCTCAGAACTCACAGGTGGAACCGCTTGAAAATAGCCTGTCGTCCCCTCCTTGCCGGAGCCCGAAAAGGACTATGGATAATGCATTTTCTCCGGCTGATCCATCATCGCAGCAAATGAGGGTCGGCAGGAAGTCTAGGAATGTAACACCCCAGCACAGGCGAACACCCCTCGAAGATGCCGACCTAAATAGCCAGCCGTGCGCACAGCGAAGTCCCGCGTCACAACGCAGCGAATGTGGCACTTCCGACCAAGTTCGGACTCGCGCCAGCTTGGAAGAGAACCAACTTCAGCACATAGACCTGGACATGGATCTGGAGTTTTCGAAGGACTTCCTCTTCACAAGCACGTCCTTGTCCGCGGCCAATGATCCCATTCCGCTCTCACAGACACAGCAGTAGTATGAGACATACATGACTAATGATTTTTGTACATATGTTAATTGGTATGATAGCCTAGGCTATCGTTGATGCGCCCTTAATTAGATCCGTCCGGTCCTGAAGTACCTAGATTGAGGGCTGGACCCAGTACTAATGGACTTTCTTCGAAGCATCGTCCGTATTCATTTACGCCACATTGAACTCTCGGTCTGTAGCCCCCGGTCAGGTTGCTCTGTGGCTGCGCATCTGAAGAGTAGATGAACCATAGCCAAACGCCCGGAGGCTCCACTCAATGGTGTCATTGTAAACTGTATCTCTCCGGGAAAATAATGCAATTGCTGTGGCTTATTTCATCTCATTCACTTTTCGGCTCAACCCTGGAGTTTGGTTGGTTATCGCAGGAAGTTTCCGACTGGTCGAGCCACATGGCTGAAACATTATAAACACTGAAAATGAGTTAGAAAAGCCCAAGCCGCCTTTGTAATTCTCACTTCTGCTTTATCTTCATTTCCCCGGCCCTCAGAATAGTGCAATGTGCACTCAGATCTAGTCTTGTTCGCAATACCAACCATAGCGCTCTTCTCGGTACCTGCTCCTTCAGCTCACTAGTACCTCAGAGTCAAGGTGATAGTCTCTGACAACGAAAGCAAGTAAGTAAGAGAGCATAGTGGACAGGGGAAGCTAATGGAGGTGCATCCAGAAGACGGCCCCGAAGTTCACTCCCCGGACAACGGGAGGGAGCTTCACTCGAGAGCCGGTTCTCCCCATGTCTCTCTCTTTCTTTCTCCGTCTTGCTCTTCCCCCCGGCCTCTTTCTCACTTCACTGCCAACTCACCTTCTTCCTCAGCTCACTTTCCCCTCCCTTCACCACCAATTTCCTCTTCCTCTTCTTCCTCTCTTTCTTTCTTATCATCTTCACCCCCACGTCCCCCTCTACCTCCACTATCTTCTTCTGCTCCCTTCCCCTCACACACTTCATCCGCCTCCAAGTCTGCTCAGCCTGCAGCGGCCATGCCCCAACGAGGCAAGCAACAGCATACGAGGGGGCAGGGTGCCTATGGGCGGGGGCAAGGGAGGCAGCCGAGGGGGCAACAACGTCTATACAACATATTACCTCCTCCAGCTCCATGGAGATCGTGGGCTAGTGTTGCTATAAAACTTACTGGGCTGCCGCCCAAAGCCACTGCCCGTACTATTTGGCAGGCATTCAAATCCGAAGGCACGATCTTTTCGATCGACATCTATGAAGACCATCATGGCCAGTTGGAGTCGAGGGGGAAAGTTCGCTTCAAGTTGGTCCTCGTTCGGGTCATGAATCCTCGGATATCACTAATTATTCACCAGGCCGCCACCCCGTTTCGATTTTTGGAAAAATGGTTCATACAGCATCAAGCTTTCAAGCGGACAAGAAGTACGCATTTTTGTTGCTCTCGAAGAGCCCAGGCCTTCAGAGCTTGAGATTCCAAGCCCAGTGCGTCCCAATGTCCGCTATCCGGCTGAGCTCGTAAGTATCCCAACCGCAAACACAGAAGTCAACTCTCATCTGGTTTACTTATTCTTTCAGACAATCCCAATTTCCTCACTTGACATTGGAGTTATGCTTAACGAAACAACACTTCTTCCAATGCGGACGGTCGAAGCCGGTCCCCTCGGGAAACCCTTCCTGCTACTCAATCTGAAAATAAAAGAATTACACGTCTTCTTTCAGCTTCAGATACTCGGCTCTAGTATGAAATCAACCTCAACCTCTTCCCCCGATACCTGGTACACATATCGCCTCAGAATCCCCCTAAAACAGCTGGGCAAGATCTTTCAGTCACGCAATATTACAACTGGGGTGGTATCACACTTGACCGTGCTCGAATCCCCTCCCATGTACCACCGCCGAATCAGCGATATAAGTGCTACATTTCATGAGCCGGGAAGCTGGAGGGACTCAGACTGCTGGTACCGCCAGACACATATTGTACACAACCCTCCCAGCTTGTCTACCCTCCCAGTCAGTCTACCAAGACAGAAGCCTATCATAGACATTGGTATGCCCTCATTTTCTGCCTCAACTGTTGTCGCTAGTCGCCTTTATTATCTCTATCTCTCCTCTAGCTAATCTTTCAACTTCCCGCAGGTCGATGGAATGCCTTCAAAATCAGTTATCCTCAAGATTGCCAGAAGGAACTCTTTACTCAGCTTTGTGCAATACTCCAGGATTATATTGTCTCTATTGAGGAGACTGACCGCTTTATTCAATGGGATGATAGACAAGAGAGGATGCCGCCAGTGTGGAAGTGGATCGATCTATCCGACGCCTCCAGTTTGTCAACGTCGTCATTGAATGACCTGATTGACTCTAGTTATGTCCCTTTGCCCTTCGCAGTTCGGTATCAGCTTGAAGTTTGTATTTCCAATGGCTACCTTTCCGAATTTACCATGACGCATGACTTCGCCGCCAAACTAGCTGACCTCGGGGAAGCAAAGGCAAGAAAGCTCTTGGAGAATGTAGCGAGTCAAAAACAGCAGTATTACGACCCGATGAAGATATTTGATCTTCCATTTATTAGAGGGGTCAGAGCCTTTAAGGCGAAGATACCTCCTTACTGCTGTCATATGCGATCCGCTACAATCACACCTAGCACCGTATACTACAATCTACCGTCGGTGGACATCTCGAACAGGATTATTAGACGCTACATGGAACATGCAGATCGCTTTCTCCGAGTTCGATTCACGGATGAGAAGCTTTATGGTCGCATTCATGCTAGAAGTGATAACTCTAATGATGAGATATTCACCCGCATCAAGCGAGCCCTGGCAAATGGCATTATCATTGGAGACCGACGATACGAATTCCTTGCTTTTGGGAACTCCCAGTTTCGTGAGCACGGGGCCTACTTCTTTGCTCCATTGCCTGACCTTACAGCGGCCAATATCCGTGCTTGGATGGGTCATTTTAGCGATATCCGAAATGTTGCCAAGTATGCAGCACGACTAGGCCAATGTTTCTCAACAACTCGAGCAGTAGCTGGTTGCCCGGTACAGATACGCAATATTCCTGATGTAGAAAGAAATGGCTACACTTTCTCTGACGGGGTCGGAAAGATTTCGAGGTTTCTTGCACAAATGGCAATGACTGAGCTCAAGATAAAGACGCCAACAGGCGAGCCTCCATCAGCTTTTCAGTTCCGTCTCGGGGGTTGCAAGGGTATGCTTGCTGTTTCTTCCGATGCCCAGCCTCGAGAGATTCATATTCGAGAGAGCCAGAATAAGTTTCCGACCGTTCATAACGGCTTGGAGATCATTCGATGGTCTCAGCACTCAATGGCCACACTGAACCGCCAGCTGATACTTGTCATGTCCACCCTCGGGATTCCTGACGAGGTATTTCATGCTAAACTCAAGTCCATGCTGCGTGCTCTCGATGAGGCCATGGAAAGTGACTCTCGAGCAATTGAGGTACTCAAAAAGTACGTTGATCCGAATCAGACGACTCTTACCGTCAGTCAAATGGTGTCTGATGGTTTCCGGCGATCTAAGGAGCCATTCTTCACATCTATCCTAGCCCTGTGGCGGACCTGGCATATCAAGTACCTGAAGGAAAAGGCGAAAATCGTCATTGACAATGGCACAAATTTACTAGGCGTCATGGATGAGACTGGGATCCTTAAAGGTTACTTTTATGATAAAATACCAAAGGAGGACGCTTCTCTCGACCAAAAGCTGGCAGCATTGCCAGAGATCTTTCTACAGGTTCCTCGTACAAGCGTTTCTGGGGAAGGTGCACAATATAAAGTCATCGAAGGACTCTGTATATTGGCACGAAATCCTTCTCTTCACCCAGGTGATATTCGTGTGGTCCGGGCAGTCAACGTGCCTGAGTTGCACAGCCTCCGTGATGTGGTCGTCTTACCGCAAACTGGAGATCGAGATATCGCCAGCATGTGTTCCGGTGGAGACCTTGATGGCGATGACTACCTGGTTATCTGGGATCAGGACTTGATTCATAAGGACTGGTTCTTAGACCCAATGCGCTATACAAGCAATAAGGCACAGGATCTAGACCACGATGTCACAGTCGATGAAGTTACCTCTTTCTTTGTCATGTACATGAAGAATGACAGCCTTCCAACAATCGCCCACGCCCACGTTGCCTGGGCAGATCAGCTTGAGGATGGTGTTAACGAAGAGAAGTGCATCCGACTTGCTCAGCTCCATTCCGATGCTGTGGATTACAATAAGACAGGAAGACCGGCTATCATGACCCGCAATCTTCAGCCACGTAGGTGGCCTCATTTCATGGAGAAGCCTAAGCCTAAAGACCTGATCTATTGCTCTAAAAAGATTCTTGGTCAGCTCTATGACGCTGTGGAGAGGGTGGACTTCGTGCCGAGCTTGGAGATGCCTTTTGACGAGCGAATCCTGAACTGTTCAATCGAAGTCAGCGATGACCTCTACACATTCGCGAAGAATCTCAAGAATGAATACGACACAGCCATGCGGCGAATCATGGCACAGCACGAGATCAAGACCGAGTTCGAAATTTGGTCAACCTTCATTCTTAACCATTCACACATGAGCAAAGACTACAAATTCCACGAAGAAATTGGTGCAATATCAGCCGCGCACCGCGAAACCTTCAGAAAGCAATGCTACAACAAGGTGGACGGTAGAACATTCGAGCTACTGGCACCACTAGCAGTCGCTATGTACCGTGTCACGCATGAAGAAATGACCCAGGCGCTTAAGAAACATCGCGAAAACTCTCCACCGCATGAAAATCCCAAGATAAATCAACTGCCTCTGATCAGCTTCCCCTGGATTCTTCCCCATATACTGGGTAGAGTTGCCCGTGGTCTTTATGATGTCTATCAGCCTCCAGCACTCAACTCCGATCCTGTGGAAATTGACCCGACCAAAGTCCCTCCCACTGCAGATAAACCTGATACCCTGTACGAAGACCCGTTCGGCCTATTCACAGACGAAGAACGCGCAGCCAACGCATCACACACTCAACCTCTAGTAACTGCGGATGCTTCCACTAGCCACGCAGGCGCGAAGAGTAGCGAGAGCATCATCGATCAACTG